ATCATGGCTACATCCGTAGTATCGTACCTCACTTGCCAAGTACCTATCATGGCTACATCAGCACATACATGTTCAGGCATCTCCACAATGTGTTGGACTTGTAAGACTGCATGCATACAATCAATGAATGTGGATATCATTATCCGGACAAATGAGTTTAACAAGACATGTCTCTGAGCAGCTCTGCCTAAATGTGTTCCGGTAACTTACATGTACGTGAACAAGTACAGGAGCAGTGGAAGTGCAGCTATAACATTCATTGGAAATATAACAGACATAACACACGTCCTTCTACAAGTAATAATATTATTACTCTATGACTGTAGACATGAAACACACATACCTGATCCTCTGTTTCCACCACGCCAAGCCGTCGATATTGAGCTTTGCCGTATACATCTCCCAAATACCCAGTACCACGGCCATCAACGATTATAATCTTTAAAACACACACACACACACACACACACACAGACACACAAGCACATAGGTACACAAATCAGAAACACAAACACATGCACGCACGCTCACACACGCACCATGCAAAAGCAAAGATCGTTTAAAACCGTCCACTGTTCACCGCTAAACCTGTGCTAACAACTGGCGCGTGAACGCACCAAGCCACACATGTGTGCGTATTTTGCTGGCGTTTGGCAAGTCCTGCATACGAACATGCAGAAATGGTAATTTCAACATGTTTTATTTTTCATCGCGTATTAGGGTCCATCTCATAAGTTCGCATTTTGTTTCTAAACGTAACGCATTTCGAAACGGGGGTAGGGGGGTAGCGCCCTTTTCGAATAGAAAAATGACTGTTCGCACATTTTCTGGAACTGTACAATCTACTACCGTGCTAGATCCCTGCAGCAAATGAGTGTGTTTACAGGTGGAGATCTACCTGTGTTTGCAGATCAGCTAACCCTTGCACTGCATGCATGCAGGCTACTCAGAGGTGTCAAATGTCAATCCAGCCTTATCAAACCATGTACCTGGCCAGCGTTTACAGGTTTACAGCAGTACAGTTGTTGTGGAGGAACTATGTTTATGTGCGTGTACCTGTCATTGATTGTACTTGTACTCAGTAAATGCAGTACTACTGAGTCTGTATGCCATTCACGACCGCTCTAGCAAAACATTCATATCCATGTACATGTACATGTACATGACTGTACAATCATGTACATAAGCATACCATAGTATGGGGCACGGACGTGTACAGTAGATAAACACAGAAAATGTGCGAAAAGACTTTCGAATAGAGGGGGGAGGTAGGGGGGTAAAGTCTATTCGAAATGCGTTACGTTTGCAAAATAATGCGAACTTATGAGATGCTCCCTTAGGCATGTACAGGCGAACATGCCAATTACTTTGACTAGCAGGGTCGAAAAATTAGTACTTGAAGGTGTCGCACGACCTAATATACGACGCGAATTGCCGCTTTTTCTGAAGGCTTGAACACATGGCTATGTCTAGACACGCATGGGTGGCAAATGTACCGTGTACACGCACCACTTGTGAACACAGCTTAAATTAGTACAGCGCCCGATGTGTACATAATACATGCACTTGAGAAAATCAGGCAATACCAATCAACCCATTCGCCAGCAGCAGAAGGAACACTCGCCTTACCTGGAAACCATACTGTCCTATGAGCTCTGCGTGCCAGCGACCTCGAGTTCCCGACAGTGTATAGGATGCAGCCACACTGTACGACAGGGGACCGTTGTAGGCGTAGAACAATGTCGGGTATTTGGAGCTGCCGTCGCTGGGCTTCAATCTCATTGCCGGCATTTTAACTCCGCCTGCTTCAATGGTCAGGAACTCCTACACATAGGCAGGCACGCAAGTACAAGTGCACATACACACCACACACACACACACACGCACACACGCACACACACGCACACACACGCACACACACGCACACACACACACACACACACACACACACACACACACACACACACACACACACACACACACACACATATACACACACACACACGCACACACCTGTACTTGCCCGCTGCCAGAAACTTGTGGCTATCAAACTACCCAACGCTGACAACCCCCAAATCCGCAACCTACCGGTGGACTTGAAAAATATGACCTAACTCATGGGCTCACCACACGGCAGCAAGTAAAAGAACAAGGCAAAGCAGGAAAAGGACTGACGGCACCAAGGTACCGGTATCTGTCCCAGGATCCAACTGCATTTACCCCGAGCCCCAGTGAAGGTAATACTTGCTACTAGTATGTGTGGCTAAATCAGAGTGGATCTGGCATATGCTTCACTAGCCCGATAGATAACCCCAGAGTTCATCTAGCCAGAAGTAGATCATTGGTCAACAGGTATGTATACTTCATTGGTCAACAGGTATGTATACTTCATTGGTCAACAGGTATGTATACTTCATTGGTCAACAGGTATGTATACTTCATTGGTCAACAGGTATGTATACTTCAAAAAGAAAGTACCATGTACAGTGCTGCTCAATGAAATCCAATCAAGCGAGTGAATGGCACGGCGGCAGGTGATACGCAGCCCTACACAGCCCTACACAGCCCTACGCAGCCCTACGCAGCCCAACACTTGTAGACCTGCAAACACTGGGATGTGAACTGGCGTATTAAAACTGGACTCACACGACCGGATTTCACCGACCATCAGAACGAAGTCCCATCCCATATAGCCGTACACAAAGCAGCATCTGTCTTACCGGCTCTGGGATGAAGTATTCCTTTGTAGCATTGAGCAGGGCTTGGTTGTCTTCCATGATGGCTTTGACGACAGCAGTGCCATTCGTCTGTATGTTTGAGAGTAATGTCTGTGGTACCCCTGGTCCGTGACAATGCTGTAGTACATACTGCTGACCAGGGTTGAACGAGAAGGAGTTGTAACCTGAAAATAATAGTAACCACACAGGTACATTTTTCATAAACACATACAGTCGCAACACTTACACCAAACTCCCCTATAGCGAAGTTCGTGATACTGTACAAGCAGAAATATTCGTCTGGAATTTAATTTCGTCTTTTTCGTCCAAGGAGCTTTTGGACTAAATTAAATGCCTGACGAATATCATTTGTTCAGCTTTTCAATACACTCTTATGATCCATGGACGAAATTTACAACCGGACGAACTCCCATTCTTTAGAGTTGGACGAAATTGTTGTACATGTGGTCGCGCTTGTAGCTCTGTGTCGTACATGCGGCTGCGCGGGTGTCTCTTGTCGTACATGTGGCTGCGCTTGTGTCTCTTTTGTCGTACACGTGGCTGCGTATGTGTCTCTGTGTCGTACATGCTGCTGACCCGTGGTACACGCCGCTGCGCTGTCTTGGAATGCTTTGTACATGCCGCTGCACCGTCTTCTGTCCCCTCCGTATGCATTATTTCTAATCTCGTACTCGTTGCATACACATTTTCTTGTCTTGTCTCCGTTGTATTTGTCTGGTTGCCGTCTTGTGTCCGTCGTATTTCCCCGTCGTTCGTCTTTGTCTCCCGTCCTGTTCAGGCCTTGTTGTACTTTGCACAGGCACCTCTTCAGTATCCCTCACCCCACTTTTTCCCCTCTTTTCTCCACGTCCCCATAATATATTCTCTTGTCCGTTTTGTTGGAGCGCAGTTCTCCCGTCACCTTACTGAAAGCAAGTTAGAGAAAACGCTATCTCCCAGTGTGCACGAGTCTTTTGTTGTTGTGTGGAGTGGCGAGGAGAGCAACAGTTCGTCGGATTAAACTGACGACATTTGGCGCCCAACGTGGGGCTCGAACCCACGACCCTGAGATTAAGAGTCTCATGCTCTACCGACTGATTGTGTTAGTGGTAGCAGACTATTTTTCTAAGTGGGTAGAAATTATTCCCCTCCCGGATATGAAGGCCGAGACCGTAGCAGACCGTTTGGTTGACCGGGTATTTTTGAAGTTTGGAGTCCCCTGCCAATTACATTCGGACCAGGGCCCTAATTTTGAGAGCCGCCTCATCTCCTCTTTATGTAAATTGTTGGGGGTTTGTAAGTCCCGCACCACCCCTTACCGGCCACAGTCAGATGGTCTTGTCGAGAGGGCAAACCGCACGATTCAGGTGGCCCTCCGGGCCTATGTCGCGGACGACCAAACATCCTGGGACCGCCACCTTCCTCTGGTACAATTTGCTTACAATACGGGCGTCCACCGTGCTACGGGATTCACCCCTCATTTTGTGCTATTTGGGAGGGAGGCCCGTTTACCCCTTGATCTTTTTCTCCCTGCCCCGGGGGTCCCTCAAGTTACTCCTCTGCCCGCATATATCACAAATTTGCGGTCATCTTTGGCTAGGGCGTTTGGTGTAGTCCGGGATCGCCTGGGAGCGGCACATCGGGTGGCTAAATCTACTTATGATAGGCAGGTGAAATCCCCCAGTTTTCAACCAGGTGACTATGTCTGGCTCCATGCAGTTCCGCCCCCGGGTGCCAGCCCTAAGCTATTTCGCCCCTGGACTGGGCCATGGCAGGAAGAAGTAATTAAGGGAGTGGTGTGTTCCATTGTACGGGTGGGACCCCCTCCTTCGGCCCGCCATGCTAAGCATTTAACAGTGCACACCGATCGGTTACGGGCTGTCCATGGTAAGGTAGTGGTTCCCCCAGGGGTACAGCAGGGAGTGTCTCCGCCTGAAATTACGGCGATGCCATCGATGGGGGTCCAGCCATGTTTTTGCCCGCCCCGTTTGGTGCACCCCACCCTGTGGCTCCGGCTCCCGTTCTGGTTCAGCCCCCGGGTTCGGTCCCCACCCCTCCTCCTTCACCCCCGGGTTCCCCTCCGGGTACGCCCCCGTCTCCTCCGGGTTCCCCTCCGTCCCCGCCCCGGCCTGGTACACCCCGACCCAGACGTTCATGTGTGTTGTCGCCTGGGGGTTACGTCGCCTTAGAGGCAGGACAGGGTCAGCTTCCGTGGAAGGGGTGGTGATTGCTTGAGGCTGCGTGCTCCAGTTGTTTCGGTTGTTTTTGTCACTTTTTTTTGCTCGTTCTAGTTATCGCGCCGCCGCGGCCCCGACTTCTGTCTATTTCGCCATGACGGGGTCGGAGTGCTCTCTACCGGTTGCTCCGTTGCCTCCCCCGCTCTGTCCACCGGCACCTCCAGCACTCCCGTTGCTTCGCCGTGTGCGCCGTCGGTCTTGCCGCTCGAGACAGCGCCGCAGAGTCCGCCGGGCAGAGGAGCAAACAGCACCATGCATGTCACCTGATTCACTGTCAGCACTATCCGCACCCTCTTCACCTGCACCGCGGCCGGCTACGCCTCCTGTCCTGGAGGACTTATCCGATGTTGTTCCTTTGGTGGACATTTATTGCTATAACGATCTCGCGTAAGCTGCATTTTTCTCTTGCATGTGTAATTTTGTTTGTCTCGACTGTTGGGTGGGTGGCGTACTAGGTTGGTGCTGTTCAAATAATCAAGATCCAAAGGGACAACTACAGGTCGAACAGCTCGCCAGCCGGGGTCCTCTGCAAAATCTGTTGCTTGCAGGTTCCATTTGATTGATGCACACTTTTGCGGGGCTCCCGACTGGTGTTAACCCTCCTGGCCTACTCGTCATGCGTTCAACAGTCGTGACCCCACTTCTTTTGTGTTTTATTGTCGCCTATTTATGTTGTTTCACATTTCATTTCCCCGGTCTTTCTGTCTTCTTCTCCGGTCTGTCTTCTCCTGTTTTTTTTAATATATACACTTCCATCCACAGGAGTGGATGTCTTTTTTTGGTTGGGGATAGTGTTGTACATGTGGTCGCGCTTGTAGCTCTGTGTCGTACATGCGGCTGCGCGGGTGTCTCTTGTCGTACATGTGGCTGCGCTTGTGTCTCTTTTGCCGTACACGTGGCTGCGTATGTGTCTCTGTGTCGTACATGCTGCTGACCCGTGGTACACGCCGCTGCGCTGTCTTGGAATGCTTTGTACATGCCGCTGCACCGTCTTCTGTCCCCTCCGTATGCATTATTTCTAATCTCGTCCCCGTTGCATACACATTTTCTTGTCTTGTCTCCGTTGTATTTGTCTGGTTGTCGTCTTGTGTCCGTCGTATTTCCCCGTCGTTCGTCTTTGTCTCCCGTCCTGTTCAGGCCTTGTTGTACTTTGCACAGGCACCTCTTTAGTATCCCTCACCCCACTTTTTCCCCTCTTTTCTCCACGTCCCCATAATATAATCTCTTGTCCGTTTTGTTGGAGCGCAGTTCTCCCGTCACCTTACTGAAAGCAAGTTAGAGAAAACGCTCTCTCCCAGTGTGCACGAGTCTTTTGTTGTTGTGTGGAGTGGCGAGGAGAGCAACAGTTCGTCGGATTAAACTGACGACAAAATTATTGACCGACGAAATTTTCTGCTTATACAGGATAGCGCGAACCAGTGTCCGTGTACCTATTTGAACGGTAGGACACTGTCCTGTTCTTCATGGGGTATGTCTTATTGGAGTTCCACTGGACAGTGAAACTTCACTACAAAGTGCCTGTACCCTGGATATCACATACGTTTCTCCTTGCATCGGATATACAGTACGTTTTCGAGGACCCCGCGTATTGCTTTCCAGTCATGTTACTGCTGATATACAGTATGTACCAGTATTCCAATAAGCAGTCACACACACACGCACGTGTGTGTGTGTGTGTGTGTGTGTGTGTGTGTGTGTGTGTCATACACTTACATGCACTTGTTGAATGTGTAGTTGTACTTGTAGATGCAACGGCTACTCACCACAGGACTTGGGATCGCCGCACGAGCACGTAACGCATTCGGGATTAACAACGTCCGTCTGCTCGATCGGTACGCGGTAGACCTGGCGATACTGGCGGCCAGGGATGGTGGACTCGAAGGCAACATGCATGCGAGATACATACAGGATCTGTGTTACCTCCCAGTCACCCGACGTCAAGTACACCGTCTCCAGGCTGGATCCACTGGCTGGGATGCGAATCAACGCCAGATGCACAAAGCGCTGGCCTTCTGGGCGCGGCATTTTAACAACGATGGCGTCGCCGTCGACGGTCGATGTCATCGGGTAGTTTTCAATCCACGTCTGTGAGGTGATGTTGAGAGTGAACGCTGCGGAGTACGGTGCACCCGGTACGTCACCGATCGTGATATTGTAGACGGCAAACACTGCGTTCTGTTGTAGCCTATCCATCCACAGTGCACAGACTAGTGATGATGATAGCCAGTGAACCTAAGCATGCACAACAAGACCAACGGGGGTAAGTGAGCAGCGCATACATTTCCAGTGCGAACAGAGTGGGTCCATTGCTATTAGGCTGATGCCTGTTTTGATTGCACGCGCACTGACTATCATTGTATGTAGCACAAAACAAACTTGGAACACGTGATGTGAGTCTTTGTTGTCAGTCAGAGACTGCACATGCAGAGTTGCACACTCTTGGGAGCTTCTATATATGTACTCAGTCTCTTGGCAGTACTACAAAGTAAGTTACTAAGTAAGTTACTACAGTGCTGGCAGCTGAAATCCGACCCCCTTGGTTGGATTTCAGTTGCCAGCACTGTAGTACTAGCACAGTATTTCTGGAGTATAAGCCGCACCCCACCCCCACCCCCACCCCCACCCTCACCCCCGACCCCACCCCCACCCCATTTTTCGCCACGAAATGCAGACATCTACCTTATTTATCACCGTTAATTTGATCATCGGAGTATAAGCCGCACCCCCTTTTGGGGTGAATTTTGAGTGTTCAAAGTGCGGCTTATACTCCGGAAAATATGGTAGTTAGGCAACTCACCTGCATTAGGTAGTGCTCAACGCTCAGCAAGTGTTCGGGTGCCAGGAGCTCACTTGTGAACAAACTCGCCACTGACACAACATGCAGCTTCACCGACGGATTGGGACTGCCCGCCTTGGGATAGCGGATGGCGGTCTGAGTGACATAACCGTCGTTCGGGTCACCGAACACCGTCCAGGCAAACGACTTCACACCTATGATGATTATCACAGGTAGATCAATATCACACAGCATACCGTTGTACTGGTATTGTCCTTGGCGACATACAGGCACTTACCATCACCACACAATCACTCCACAGCATGCCTACTCTCAAAACACAATGGAAGTTACGCGAATGATTCATGGGGGTGAGTCAGTGGAACCGCTTATGGGCGCTACAAGCATACAGCGGAACCTCTTATGGGCGCTACAAGCATACAGCGGAACCGCTTATGGGCGCTACAAGTGTTGTAACAGCGGAACCGCTTATGCCAAGTTATGGGCGCTACAAGCATACAGCGGAACCGCTTATGGGCTCTATGTATGCAGTGTGAGTCGCTAGTGCAGCGCTGTGCCGCAACTTCGCCTGACGCATCTCAACTGATGATGTAATCGCATAAAACCTATATACACAAAAGTCAGCGGTCAAATCAACACGAGAGCACCAGCACCAGCACCAGCACCAGCACCAGCACCAGTATGTACCGTGATGATGCAAACCTACAGTACCTGTCTCGTTGATAGAAGTGTATGCAACAAGCCCATCATCCGGTGATGGCCACATGGAGTGATCAGATGAAAATATCTCTTCCTCGTACAGCCAGTCCGGTATGCCCTGTGCACAGTAGCGGTGTAGACCATAATCAATAGAAAGGAATCACGGTCATTATGCACTTTCCGCCATATTGTAATCACATGTTTCCTCTTTGTCCACCACATCACACATCACATTCTTCCATGTACAACAATGCCGTTATGACATGTTGATTCAGCTGGCCTTGATGAGCGCTTTTCTTAAATTGTTGTCGCCTCGCCACTTGTTTAAATAATTATGAAGCGGCACTACGGTGGCACAATAATATTATATTGGCATTGTGTATGCTACTCCCGCCTAATACCTGGTCGGAATAGGGTTCATGGAGGCGGGGTGGGGTGGTAGAGTCTGCAGCTAGACAGTACCACTGCTGGAATGTACCGGAAGGTACCGGAATGCAATGGAATATACTGGTAAGCGATGCCCTGCGCATGTCTCATGTCATATCATATCAACTTTGAGCGGACATGGTAGCAACACAGCCAAATCACCAGGCAGACACACTGCACACACCCAGGCGTGCACGATACCCGGGCAACCACGCGAACAACATACACTTCACACATGACTACTGTCTAATGCCCGGAGCATACTAGGTAGGATGCAGAACAACATGCACTACACCCTCCCGGGCATACATGTACGTACGTAGAACAACTCGCCGTCGATACCAAGCTCGGAGATGGCTGTGCTGCTTTCCAGCATGTCCACGCTACCGACGGTGAACATCTGACTGGCGCCGGCCGTCACGAAATACAAGGCGTTGCCAGCTCTGGCCCAGGCGGCATAGCGTAGCGTGGCACCGTCGTGCAGCCAGCCTAGCAGGGTAGAGTTGTGCGCGTCGTGTTGATCACACTGCACGACGGCGTACTCGGAAAGACGCGAGTGCCGGTACACTTGACTTTGGTTGACGGCGACAAGGACATACCTGCAATCAACAAGAAACACAAAGAGCAGAGTAAATACTGTATTTTCGGCAATACTGGCCGGGGCGCTTGGTAGTTTGCGAGCCCTAAAATTTCACCCCATTTGGATAAAATCCACACAAAAGCCCTGAAACGATGCGGCGCTTATTTCAGACAGGCGGTAATAAAAGACCGGCGCTAATTTCCAAAAATACGGTAGATGGTGCAGAAGACAACCAACACGAGCAATGAAGAAAAGGACATGTAGCAAAGCATGTATACAACCGTCCTACACCACATACATGTACATCATGTGTACATATACCACAGAGCACAGTCCCTCAGAGACATGCCTGGATAAGCAAATTACTCTGGATAGCATCAACACACGTGCCAGGACAACTCTATGTTTTAGAAGTCCAGCACACACAGTGACCACTGTAAGAGTTGAATCTCCAGCGCGGGCACAACGTCTAGCGTTTTAACAGAATCCATCGTTAGCTCCAGAAACATTACACGTATGTTATTCTTTGTCTCCTCTGTGCTGGAGAAATAGAAGACAGGTGTGTGCTGGCAGGGTGAATGAACTTTGTGCCAGCTAAGCGGGACATGTTTGCAAATTGTTAAACTTCAGGCTCGTCACACTTTCAACTCTTCTGGTACTACTCGCACACACACACACACACACACACACACACACACACACACACACACACACAGTTCCTTGCGCACAGCCACTGCACATACATAATATGAATATGCTGCATGCACTGTGTTGTCCACGTTGGATTGCCGACAAAGCCGGGGACGTGAGGTAGTAAAGCTTATCTAACGTGTCCTTCAATGTTCCCGTGCATTGCCCCCTACCCATGTTCCCGTGCATTGCCCCCTATCCATGTTCCCGTGCATTGCCCCCTATCCATGTTCCCCGTGCATTGCCCCCTATCCATGTTCCCGTGCATTGCCCCCTATCCATGTTCCCGTGCATTGCCCCCTATCCATGTTCCCGTGCATTGCCCCCTATCCATGTTCCCGTGCATTGCCCCCTATCCATGTTCCCGTGCATTGCCCCCTATCCATGTTCCCGTGCATTGCCCCCTATCCAGTCAGCAACTCCTTTAGTACATGCAGTGGCCTGACTCCCGACTATTACGTCACGCTACATAATAAGCATGCGCAAGAAAATAAAACATTCTCTTTGGCCTCAACTTCTTTGTTGTCCGGTTGGCCATTGTAGCCGTTGTCTAGGGTCCGACGTAAAACCCCCACATGGGTCGGGAGTCAGGCCGCTACATACACAACCAACATGTTTTAAGATCATTATCAACTCTGCTAGTGAGGCTGGAGCTATTGACTGAAGGTCAGCAGCACTAGCACACCAGCAGCAGCAGCAGCAGCAGGAGGAGGTGGAGGTGGAGGTGGAGGTGGGCAAACACACACCTTTCATCGTGGGATAGCCAAAACGTGGCAACAGACAGGTTGGTGAACTCCTCGGGTAGGACACAGAACGCTTTGCCAGAATCTCTAGGGGAGGTGGAGAGCTGGCCGTCGACTTGAATGGTCGTAATGACCACTGCGGATTCGTTCTTGACAAGGTACACCAGTCTGGGACTATTAGGCATCCATGCTGCAGAGAATGACCTGTACACGGCAACAAGTAGAGCAAAACCTGACAGATTAGACCTGGATGTATGCACTATGCACTGTGCACACACACGCATGCACGCACACACACTAACATTAACACACACACACACACACACACACACGCACACACACTAACACACACACACACACACATGCACACTAACACACACACACACACACACACACACACACACACACACACACACACACACACACACACACACACACACACTAACACACATACACCTTGAACGTGCCCATTGCCGATTTTATTTATTTTTATTCTTATTTTACTAGGGAATTCCCAACAGGCGTCATCGCCTTCTTACAGGGAACCCTAAGAAAGTCTTGATGGCAATGATAGCGAAGGGACTATCTGCTAGCTTTGTAGTACGGAGTGTAGCGCTTGAGATCCCCGGGACGACGGCAGACCTTTCCACATGCACACACACACACACACACACACACACACACACACACACACACACACACACACACACACACACACACACACACACACCATTGGACCATTGGACGCCCATCGATGATAGCGATGCTGCAGCAGAAGCCATAGCAGCTTGTGCTGGGATTGCACCATTCAACAGCTTGCAAGGCTGAAGAATTGACCGCCACTATTCAGCCTGGTCTACACCACACAGCTATGAAGTGGCTTTTTCTGGCCAGTGAATCCCTACTTTTTGGTCTTTTTTTTTAATTTTTCCCACACACACATCACACCACATACTCCGGCATGCACTGGCTGTTGGTAACCACCCAGGAGAATGAAAGAAAAGTCAGGAAGAATCTGAGAAAGAGAAGAAAGACGTGTGTGACCATAATCGTCGGGAATCGAACCCGCAACCGATCGATTGGAAATCGCTGCACATACCACTGCACCACACACACACACACACACACACACACACACACACACACACACACACACACACACACACACACACACACACACACACACACACACACACACACACACACTAACACACACACACACACAACCTTGCGGCACACTGCCTCGCCCAAGTCCAAGGGATCAGACGTGTACCTATACCAGCAATGCATCAGAATGTCTCTGTACCAGGCTACATTCAATGCAGCTCCCAGCCGTGATCTGGACTCGACATGCCGGATCGACATTTGTCCACAGCGTGTGGCACTGTTTGACACTGCAAAACTGGCCAAATTATCTGGCAGTCCAGGGCAGGCTGTGAACCAATCGGCCCGTCATGGGACGCCTGCGGGACAGAGGCGCTCACGAAATACATTCACTATCACAGACACTATGCCGCAATATCACAACCTTTCACTCAGGTTTGGTGGATTTGTGTGGGGGAAATTCCAGAGCCGTATTGCACATTGTGCAAAGTGAGCCAAAATGTCATTATTGCAATTGTAAACAAGTGATTCCCCAAATATAAATGACCCTTTTCAACGCCATAATTATACTTTTATAGTGACATTGAACGCTAAAAAGGGGGAACAATGGTTAGCCATGCACTTACCGTGGAGTAAAGCTAGGACTGAAGACATCTTCAAAAAAGAGAGGAGATTTATTGGGTTTGTTGTTAGTCGTCGCTTTGGTCAGGAAATACGCACCAACGCCGACCGCTGCAGCCAGTGCCATGACCACTAGAAAAACAGTACACACGCCTCTTCTGCGCTTCGTACGTACTGCATCAGCCTCCACCGCCAATAGGCGATCTCCCTCGCTGCTTGTAAATTTGTCATCGTGGTGTGCGTCGTCTTCCAGAGCACTCGTACTCTTCACCTTCTCATACTCAGCACTGGTGCTCTGAGTCTGTGCCGCCATGGCCAGCGATCAGCAGTGTCCGGGACGAGAGCTCGTAACTTCGTAGCCTTGTGCTAAATGTTATCCACACGCACACATGCAGTAGCCGCTGATTGTGATTTCGACCATACAACGGGAAGATTGTACTTGTTGTAGATCTACTGGTAGGTCTACATGGTGGAGGACAGACTCAGCGGAAGGACCATGAATGATTGCAGCTGTTTCTTTCACTGTTTCAGACTTCAGTTGACATTTTCACTTTTCAGGCAAGTAAATGTTTTGTGGACGTACGTGTGATATCAACATGCATGCACGGAGCACGTGCATGTATATGTACGTAACGACGACGTTACGTCACACAAGCGATATCGCGATATGCACAAAATATCACTATTCTCTTGTTCCCTGATCATTGCCTTGCCCTTGGCCTTGGAACAGTACAGTGATACTCGTATCACTTTGCTCTCATCAGCTCAGATGTTTCAAAATTTGATTCGAATGAATAATAATTATAAATTTCGGGCACATGAAACCCCTCCAAAAAATACCAATCGTGATCCGTCGTTGTGTGGAGTGCATGTTGAATTATTCTAACTTATAATATCATTGTTAATTAATATAGAGGCTCTTGCATTATCATCGAGTACGCAGGTCGATGGCTTTACATGTACTTCTTAGCAAAAGCACAAACTGGCAGCAACGAAACTTGCCAAGCTAGCTGGTTGTGCAGTGTTGGACGCATCCTGTAAGAAAGGGAGCTTCAGTTCTCCCTGGTCACTACACGTAACGTTACAGGTAGTATTGAGCAGATGACCTAATTCGTATCTAACAGATCACAGTACAAATTACTTGACGTACTTACAATGCCCAGGCTCCATTTCCTTCCCTCTTGCAGCGAAGTCAAGACTTCAGAACAATGAAGAACGCTCCTCTCTCTCTCTCTCTCTCTCTCTCTCTCTCTCTCTCTCTCTCTCTCTCTCTCTCTCTCTCTCTCTCTCTCTCTCTCTCTCTCTCTCTCACTCACTCACACAAGTCACAAAGTCAAAAACGACTCATAGCGTGTGTGCACACTAAATGTACACAAGGAATTCGAAGAAGGAAGTATGCAATTAAATGACCCATCTCACAAGACAGCTCCTTTGGCTTTGGCATAAATATACACAGGGAGAAGCAATATTATACACACACACTAAACCACAGCTGCAAGGGACAGCTTGGGCATCTTGACAAGCATGTCAGCAAATCGCAATAATAAAAAATATGGAAGCAAAGAAGCGCGACACACTACACACCCTAACAGGACGAACACGCATGCACACGACGAAGACTAAGCTGCCGCTGCAAAATCCAGCTTAGGCCGAGGCCGCTGCAGCAGCCTTCTCTGCCTTTGCCTTGTTGTAGGCCTCCATCTTGATGCGGGTCTCCTCCATCTTGCGGTCTCTGCGGATAACCTTCTGGCCCTTGTCGTACGACTCGATGAAGAACCTATTGTTGGGATGAGCAACACCCTTGCCTGAAGGACACAGACGGATATACATAGAAAGCGGCAAAGAGGTCAAGTACAGTATTCACTCGAGATACCGTAAAGTCGCGGATAAAAGCCGGGCTTCTAAGCATATATTGATATAAGCCGCTTTCTGCATCAGGTTTTAAGTTTAATGCAAACCAGGCTTGTATGCAAACCATGCTTATATGCACCACTGATATTTTTTGCCAAGCTTGTATGCACGCTTCTACGCGCGTAGATCTACCACTGACTACCGGTATGGCGGCAGTTTTACTATGCACCGTACATAGCGCATGCACTCTTGACCTACCCGATCTGTGCTTGCATAGAAGCCAGGCTTCTAAGCGCGACAGGCTTATATACATTTGACCCGTTTGATTTTCAGGCTTCTATCCGCGATGTGCTTGTATGCAAACCCGGCTTTTATCCGCGACTTTACGGTAATGGTGAGTAGCCATGACACCATGGAGCAAGAGAAGACAATACAGTCAGCTGAGCATGTGCAGAAAAGAGTTGTTTTTAAACTATGCGTATACATGCACCCATCAACCCATCCACCCACCCACACCCGCATACAGTGCTAACATGGGTAAATTGACCAATCAATAACTATGTTCTGCCCTACGTTACGAGAACGGGACGCGAAGAATTCCGGGAACACTCTTCGCGTTTCCGCAACCAAGGGTACATTAACCAGAGTGCGCAGCTCCGCATCTATGCCGCATGAAACCGATCCCACAGCAAAGTTCTTGTTTGTTTAGGTCATCAGGAATCATAGAAAACGTGTCACACAGTAGGTTCAACGCTAAATCACCGTATCTCTAGGGTGCTAACAGGATATTTGCGTCCTTTTTTTTTTAAACCTTTCGTACAAGCAGCAATGTGCAGCAGAAAACCTTCGTGATACGGCAAGATGACCATGTGCATCGTGCGAGATTAGCAAAGGTGAGAGTCATTATGACCTAAACAAAAAAGAAACTTCGCTACGGGAGGTGATTTTCCAGGAACTGCACACGTTACGAACTCTTGCCGAACATATAAGAAACCTGTTCTGCTTTACATTCACGGAAAAAACCATGAGGAACGTGTACTGGGAATTTCCGGCTCCAAATTCGGCAACTTTCTTGGTAATCTGAACAATAGGGCTTGAAAGTGCTACGTCACAGCATAGTAACAATTTCAAAAATTCAAAAACTGGATCCACTGGGATCCAGTTTTTGTATGGATCCAAGCACATTTCAAGCGGTCTTACCCACAGCATGGTGATGTAGCCAGTGAAACTGACTGATTTGGCTACTGGGGGCGGGGTTACAGCTGGTGGCGAAATAAAAGTCACACCTGCATGCGACATGAGTGGGTTGCTATGCACCCACATACTTAGGCAATAGCAAAGTCACACCTTAGTGGATCCAAAAATAGAAATCTGATGTCAACTTACTACTCCCTGGCCGTTTTGACGTCATCACTTTCAAGCCCAATTCGCACCAAGATCTGTACTCATTTTCTTTGCATGTGCCGCATGTAGAGAACCTCATATCGGCGTAGAAATGTAGACCCAAAGCACGCCAAGCTGTAGACTCTAGCCCGGGCACCTGTTCTCTACGTGATTTCTCCGCGTTCCACGTAGAGGAGAACATCGCTTTTTACACCAAGTTGACCAAAGCGAGGAGAGGATGGGTGCATTGTGAAACGCTGCCATGAAGGAGAACCTCATATCGGCGTAGAAATCTAGACCCAAAGCACGCCAAGCTGTAGACTCTAGCCCGGGCACCTGTTCTCTACGTGATTTCTCCGTGGTCCACGTAGAGCAGAGCATCGCGTTTTACACCAAGTTGACCAAAGCGAGGAGAGGATGGGTGCATTGTGAAACGCTGCCATGAAATTATCCCAAACGAAAATACGAGAGCATAAACAGTTCATGACATTGCGCACAGTGAATTTTAGAGAATTTACCCTCTTATGCGCATAGTGGGAAATGGTAGCAAGAGTCCATAACCAATAGAACGCAACTCTTATCACCTTGCCATAGGCTCATCCCCAACGGCTTTATCATTATGCGTCATTTTTCGGCAAATATACTTTGAAGTATGATCTAGTGCGAAGGCCTTCTACACGTGCCGTGAAACTATAGTGCAGTTCAATGGGTTGAGTAGAGTGTGATCTGACATCCATTGTGCTACACACTTCACTGCTGGAACTACGAAGAACAGGTACATGTACAAGGGCCTTTGGACTTGAGCTTCACGTCTTTTAGAACACTGGCTATGCAGGATAACACCCGTGAACAGAATGGCTGCTGAATACTTTTGTCATATGTCCAAAGTCGATCACTTTCTCTGTGGGTGCACAGGTCGAAAAGCAATGCAACAGTCGCCAAGTCTTGGTATGGACCTCTAATGGTGGGACTGTTTTCACTACATCGGATGTGATAAACCCAGACAACCAGCCACACTATTGCTCATGACCCAGACTATGCTAGCTCTAAATAGCAAGGGCACTTCGTCAACTGAACAATTTTTGTACAATAATAAAATAATAGTCGAGCACTTTGTCTATGAATGAATAGTAATTGATCTTTCTAGCGCAGATCGAAAATAGGTGCCATGTACTACTACATGCACTGGTAAAGGATTGAACATCTAGGAATGTTTCAGTACAAACCCATCTGCCAAAACAGAAAGCAATTGATTTCCAGTGTGCATACCGCATGGTGCCGTTGGACCCCCCCCCCCCCCCCCACGCTGTGTGGCTTCCCAGCTGGTTCTCGGCAGGGGTGCAGAACTACATCAGGGTTCCCAAGTACAGTATGGTGTGCAATGCGGAATATCAGACTTGGCGAGCTGGATTTTGCGCATTTTAATCCTTGCACAGCAGTCAAGGGGGCAAATTTCATTTGTCAGCACTATACTGGCACATTGCACTCGTGGTCATGGAACCGCAGTCACAGTTCAATCTCACATTCCCCAGTCACAAACACGGGGGGGGGGGGGGGCCCACCCATAATACTACGGTCACATTCAGGAGTAGTTTTCTTGTATTGTTCGTCATCCTGTACAAACTCCACTGCATGGCAAAGGTGACACCGGTGCACGGTGCAGATGCAAAACCTACATGTACATGTACTCCGCTTCTTCTATCAGCCTATTTTGGTCGGAACATTAGTTTTCTGGCATCGTACATGTATGGTGGTTGCATTCACTCAGTTTCATTTGTACAGGTGAACTGAACTGGCTCTGGTAAAATAGTGATTATCAGGGCATGTGGAAACGAATCAGATTAGATACAGTGACAGTACGGTCGTGTACTCTTGGTCTGATAATAAAACTATACATCCAGTGTAACATATCACTTACATGATCTGGCGAAGTCCTCGTCTGTCAGCAATAAGCAACAAAATCAAACAAAAATGACACAGAAATGTTGAGAAACAGTTGTCAGGATCTGAGAAATTTCAATATTCTTCTTACCGTTCTTGGCTTTCAAGGTATACAGAAAGTAGGTGATTCCCACCATGCCGACCCCGGTGTAGCGCATTGGGAAGTTATAGTGCCAGAGAAGAGGGAGAAGACCTCTCGCAACGTCACGGATGGTCTTTGGTGACCTCGTCAACGAAACATTATTCCTTCGGATGTCGAACATAAACAGACAGCGCTTTGCAATGGGGTGATGTATCCATCGCGGCTTATTCGGGTTTCCCCAATACTTGTTCAGAGGCTCAAAGTTTTCCGCCACCATGGTTCTACTTGAACTGGAGGAGGAATCCTCGACCAGCTACAACAAGAAACTAATTCCTACACTGGCCACAGCTAGCAACAGCAACCCAACGCAAAATTTTATGCACAGCAGCAGATCAGCGGCATGCAGACTCGAAGATATCTACATTGTAGATCTACGAGTAGAGTCTACCAGGTAGGTCTATATATACTACACCATGTACTTGTACCAACGCTCAGCATGCTCAGTTCATGCACCAGCTGCACAGACTACGCTCGAAGCGCTCGTGTACGTAACGACTACGTACATGCAGTCCAACTCCACAACCGGCACAAGCCCGGTCGCGGTCGGTCTGCCAAGCACAAAGACGCTGCGGCCGCGCACCCCGCGCGAGATGAGTAGTCTACGTGCCGCGCCGCGCCGTTTAGTAGCGGTTTACCTGAGCGCTGATATCCCCGCGGCCCCGCCCCTCCACCTGATCAGCTGAGTGAATACAGACTCAGTAGACTACACGTCTAAAGTACAGTATGTCAGTATCTACGTAAAATTTTTACTTCGCAAGTAATGTTCAAACGGGTTCCTGGCCCAGTTATATTATCATAATCGAAGGAATACGTAAACTAGCTCGTTACATGTACATGATTGTACTTCTGGGCGCGGGTCGGGCCAGTTCTGGCTGAGTTTTGCCTGTGAAGTACATGTAAATGTAAGTAAGCTTTACTGGCACTACAACTAATTGTACAAGCAGAATTTTGCAGTAATTTTTGAATAGGGCAGATCAAGGCGGTTCCAATGCCATGGTCAAGGCCACAAGACCATGGCCCATGTGAAACAAAATTCAACGTCAAAAATGCAGTGCTGGCAAGTTGCAACTGAAATCCGACCACCCTGAGAGGTGCGCTCACATCACAAAGACCCAACACGGGATGGTAAAACTACGAAACAGAGACCGCCAGAATGTGAACCCACCGCTCAGGGGGTCGGATTTCAGTTGCCAGCACTGCAGAAAAGATAACTGAGGATATACAAGAGAAAGGTTGGAAGCTGTGTTGCAACTCTGAGTTTCAGTTATGGGGAATTGAGGATACTCAAGTTTCTAAAAAATGATCCAGAATCAGGACATACCGGTATTAATAATAATTATACGTGACTGTACATCTCGTCCAGGGAGTTGCCGCCATAGACCCTCTCTGATGTAGTCTATAACCATCATGATATCAAACTGCAGTAAAAACTGTATCTAAAGACGACCGTGACCATCCTGGTACTACATGTACAGACCACGTCGCCAGGCACGAAGGGTATCACATTCATGATAGTATCAAGAGTATTATAACTCTTGATATTATAATGGTTGTGCGGTGCAAGCCTCTAACTAAGGACCACCTGCCACTAAAGACCGCTTTCTCTGGCCCTAAGGGGTGGTCGGGTTAGTCACAGGTTTTACTGCAGTAAGTTGGCGGCCCATGATGATGTGTGTTCAGTGACCAAGAGCGCACAATGCCTGAGGCTATCAATGGTTATGTACTCTCGGTAAAGGGGTTTGCTCCCCACACTGGAGCTCGCCGAAGTCGCAACCACTATTTCGTACTGATGTATTCTCTCAGTGTTACACATATTCCCACTCTCTCTCTCTCTCTCTCTCTCTCTCTCTCTCTCTCTCTCTCTCTCTCTCTCTCTCTCTCTCTCTCTCTCTGTCTCTCTCTCTCTCTCTCTCTCTCTCTCTCTCTCTCTCTCTCACACACACACACACACACACACACACGCACCTACAGGTAGATGGAACATTTTCTCTTTTATTTTTTTGGAAAAGCAAGCTGCACTGAGAAAGTTGTGTTAAAAGAAATGAGGCCGGTGAGACACCGCCAGAAAAATGGTACAATCGTCCCTGTTACACACGTCATAGCGTGTTACAGCAGCTTGGGACACGGTAAAAGCAATAGTATGTCTGCACGATGGCAACTGTACAGGAATATATAGGTTATTTACATAATGCCAAAGGTTTTCTTCAGCTCCTTGACCAAGACCCAGTCTGTGCGTGACATCTGGTCTCTGAAGTAGTTCTTGCTCGCGTCGATCGACTCGCGGCTTATCTGCAGCACAGAACACAACCAAACACAAGAAACAGGTCAGCATATTTATAAAGACATGCACGGCACAGATAACACACAATTGCAGCAGCACATTTGGCATGAAAATACGCTGATCCAGGCACTGGCCAAAGAAGGAACAATAGTTACAATACACCCCAATGCAAGAACTCTCACACCGTCAACAAACTCTTTGACTACACGAGTCACAGCGGAATTGCACAAAACAAAGGCAGCAGTTGGAGTGAAATGCAGCAATTAATAGCTTACCCTACTGACAATGGAGTCAGTGATCTCAAAGTGCCTGCCAACCATCTTCGGTGCATCACCACTGGTATGGTCAATCTTGATGCAGACCTCCTGGCCTTTCTTGCCCACGTCCAGGTTCTTGTGATTGAACTCTATACTGCCTACGGTGCCCAAGAAGACGAACTCTTTCGCTGCAAGCACAGTTGGCAGCAGACAGGCAAGTCAACCTCCAGCACAACACCAACACCAACACCAACAACAACAACAACAACAACAACAACAGCAACAACAGCAACAGCACCAGCAACAAACAACAACAAACAGCAGCAGCAGCAGTATGGTACATGATTGTAGAAACGCTAGGCGTGCTACACAAGGAACTATAGTAAAAGGCGCAGCACCCTATACCCTGAAAGAAAGTCATAGCACCACTAACATCAAGTACAAGAGCAAGAAAACGTACTGGGTACACAAAGTGGTGTGCCGACATGAACAGTGCCCTCCTCAATGATAACACCAAGAACGATGGGGTCACGTTTGTTGAAAACACATTCCGGAAGGGTGCGCAGCTTGCAAGGGAACACAGCCACGTGACGGAACTCATCCTGCTTCTTCTTCGTGTAGTCCTACACACAGAGAAGCACGAGAAGCACGAGAACACACACACACACACACACACACACACACACACACACACACACACACACACAATTGCAATTATGATCACATGCTCAAGAGCCAAGACAGGTCAGAGTCAGGGATGCTAAGAAAAAGGCACCGAGGTGTGGGCCGTGTGTGTTGTTCGGATATGGTGATATGCACACATGTGCACTGTACACTCAAACGTCTCTTATCCGGACGCCTCAGATACGGGCACGTCTCTCTACCGGGCACCTTCAGCTTGAGTTCCGATGGCAAAAATGCTTCAAATTATTTGGGGGTTTGGATTTTTTTGTATGCGCCAATGCTTACCGTATATTCTCTATTATAAGCGCCGTGCTTATATATTTTCAACACCCCTCTACCCCGTGCTTATATTGGAGACCGCGCTTATATTGGAGACCGTGCTTATATTTTTTCAACCAATACATCCATAGAGAGCAAGAAGAAATACATGCTGGATATCATGCATGCAGCATTGATTTCCACCAAGACCGTGCTAATAATAGAGACTGTGCTTATAATGTTTCGAAAGGTGCTCACAGTGTGCTAGTATTAGAGACTGTGCTAGTAATGGAGACCTGTGCTTATAATAGAGAATATACGGTATTTCAAGTTATTCGTCACTGCCAACTGTGTAATCCACATACATTTGTATCAATGGATTCTTTCGTATCTTGAACATGTGCAATATGTGCATCTTCAAAAAAAATGATATGATACATGGTAAATGAGTTATCCTGAGATATGGGCAAATCTGAGATACAGGCAGTGCCCGGTCCCAAGGTGCCCGGATAAGAGACGTCTGAGTGTACAATAGAGAGAGAGAGAGAGAGAGTGTGTGTGTGTGTGTGCGCGCACGCGCGCATGTTACAGCAGTTCTGCGACATCTGTTGATGGCAATACATGTACCAGTCGCGATCGAAGCTACTGTGCCGCATTACTTACATCTCTGAATGCCATGAAGGCATCAAACAGATGATAGATGATATCGGCAGTAAAGATCTTGACACCGATGGAGTCAGCCATCTCCTGGGCTTCACGCTCGACTTTCACATCAAAAGCAAGTACAACAGCAAACCTATCGGGAGCACAAGCAACAGGACACCACAAACACCACACAGTCAGCACACCGGCTTTACACTTGCAAACTATAATGCATTAGCTATCAGTACGAGGAGCAGATGTAAAACAGTGATCTCCCCCACCCACCCCACATAAAACAGAATGTTGTTACCTAATAATATAATAATAATATTCGCGGGATCCGATATTACCTGCTCCTAGAAAAACCAAAAAAAACCCAAGTATATATACAATACAGACTATTGTTCAGACCAAAAGTACATAACCTCCAAGAGTGTGCAACAACTGGCTATGGGGTATGTGACGGCAGAACTTCCACATCACATGACAAACCTGTACACATTATTTTCACCCGGTGATCACTTTGCACTGTTTGCAAGCTTAGCCTTTCGAGCCAGGTCACGTGATTTGAAGTTCTGTCGTCGCAGCACTGTAAAGGTGTTGTGCAGGCAAATGCACATCCCCGGGGGTTACTCAATCTGCGGACAGCATGCTGTTTCGTTCTTGGGGGTTATGTACTCTTGCTCAGACATATGCGCATGTACATGGGCACAACTTACTGTGCATCGTGCTCCAGCATCACACCACTCCTCATGATGTCCTTCTTGTGAACAGGACCGATGGATACGCCAGAATACTGCGAAGCACACACGTGAAGAAAGAACAACGATGATTACAGCACTTTGAAGAAAACAGTACTAATGTAGTGAGGTCACCACCCAGCTTGTGCACACATGTGAAGAAAGAATAAAAATGGATACAGCACTGAAAACAAAGTACCACTGTTTTCAGGTAACATCCTAGTTTGTGTACACGTGTGGAGAGTCTGGAGACTCGAGGCATAGTGAAAGGCACAGTAAAGTACAGTCATACACATCTAGTTATAGGTTGCACCTAAGATATGATGAGAAGATGCGCCTGCTGGGTCAGAGAGCAGTCCCCAGAGTGGCCACTCATCAGGCTGCATGTAGTCACAGTAACTCGTTGAAATACACAAAGACATGACATGGTTGTACAAGTATATCGTGCTGGCTTTGCCATACTCGCACACCAGGACTGAATAACATGTGTATCATCACCACAAGACCCCGCGGCACTCACCGGGATCTTGGAAGTCTTCAAGAACTCCAACAAAGCCTCCAGCGCACCCATGGTTGACGCCTGGACATAGACACCACGCTCTTCGGTCTTGATGGACCGGAGCGCTGCCTTCAGGGTTGCTTCCTGTACAGACTGCAATAGGGAACAACAGAGAAAATACAGGCACGTGGTACCAGCAGGAAAACAACAGGTCAGGTCCGTCTGCTTGACACATCACAACAGGCAAATATCAAGGACTAGTAAGAGGACACAGGGCACTAAACGCAACGCACACATTCAGTACACTTCTACTGTGTCGGGGTGCAATTCGGGAGGCAAGACACAGTGAAGTCTCTGCCCGTATCCCACTATCACACTACAGAAGAAAAGGGATAAAAACGACAATCATGATACATACCCAACAATATGAGCAGAGAGAGAGAGAGAGAGAGAGAGAGAGAGAGAGAGAGAGAGAGAGAGAGAGAGAGAGAGAGAGAGAGAGAGAGAGAGAGAGAGAGAGAGAGTGAGAGAGAGAGAGAGAGAGAGAGAGACAGAGAGAGAAAGAGAGAGAGAGAGGGGGAGAAAGAGACACAGAGAGCTGAGTAAATTGCACTAAAGTGTATACCTTCAATACGTCGATTTCATCGTTCTGATAAGCAACAAAGAGTGGAGTACCAGCAAGTGTCTTTTCTAAGTCCTTGCCGCTGATACGAACACCCTGAGCAGCCTTCACCTCCTTCTCTTGATGGTATGCATTCTGCACACAATAAGAAGCACAACATCAGGAATAGATGTGATGCTAAACTTGGGAAAACACAACAGCATCAAAGGAACAACTTCGGCAATAGGCTGCAACGAAACAATATCATTTATTTCAATAAAATTCTGGAGAAATAGTGGCTAGGAAAAAAGGAACAAGCCAAGCTAAACTGATGCAGAGCAGCAAACACCTACCTTGACTCGGAACTCTTTCATCGGCTGAGGCATGAGTAATGCACGTATTGTTGTGTTGAAAGCGCCATCCATGCCGCATAGGACAATGGACTGGCCCTCGCGAAGCTGACCTTGTACCAGGATAACGTCCAAGCACATACCAAGGCCAGGAACAGATTTCACCTGTACATGTAGAACACACACCATACACACACACACACACACATCCACACACACACATACACACACACACACACACACGCATTTGAGTCAGTTCTAAGTGAACCGAAAATCAGCTCCAACCTGATAAATTCAAGATATGCATGCTTGGTGCAAACACACACACACACACACACACACACAAACACACACACGCACACGCACACATATGCACTCGGAATGAACAGTCAAAGGTCGAGAACCAGAAATGAGAATGTATGGCGATCAAAGTCTGTTTTCGTATGCAATATCTAGAACATGAGAGATACCGGTGCTCAATCCCAGAGGGGCAATTTACAAGACTGCAAAAGAAATAGAAATAACGTCATCGGGAGAAACGATCACTAGACCACTATTTTAATTAACTCAAAGTCGATGAGCTCCTTTTATTCAAGAACAGTTTACCAATCAGCCTACAAACGGGAGGAAGGCAGGAGCAAGCCACTCACCTCCAGTACTTGGGCGTGGATCTGTTGGGTGAACGCCAGCTGGTTGGCCAAGTTCTTCTGTGACAGCTCGCACAGCAGCGCAATCAGGTCGCCCATACCGTCACCCGAAATGGCTGACGTCGGCACCTGGCAGTCAACACATGATTTACACAGACGGGCACAATAGCACAACGCATGAGTGCTGTACACTTACGATGAAGGCGCCGTGAAGGCCAAACCGGTAATAAAAATGTTCAGGCCAAAGCAGAGCGACGTATGCGAAGCAACGCGGCACAACGGAAAATCAGATTTGTGCAGATCTAAAGTGACATCATTGTCCTGTAGAGCAGGGAGAATAGATCACAACGCCAGCATTGACTCCAAGCAATGACTAGAGCTACTCACCAGTGACACTACGTTGCGCAAGTCCTTGTTGTCAAACGACACTGCCGCATTCAACCCCTGCAAGGAGCACACATACACACACAAGGAAATAAGCAAAATCAGCGGGACAGACCACAGCCTGGCTTGCACCGTGTAGCCAAACAGGCACACAACACAGCAAGGTTTCTGCTAACACCACAGGTTCAGTTAACACTGTACAGGGACGGTAGAAAGGCAAGTACACACCAGCCTACTGCAAGTACACACCAGCCTACCTGCTCAGCAAACTGCACGATGATCTCCTTGGAGCGCTCCTCAAACTCAAGACGTGTGTTGAGCTTTTGCTTGGCAATCGTATTCTTCACACTGCTTTGTGGATTTCTTCTCCACTCGAAGAGACGATCGATCTACAGATCAACACAACCAAGCATACAAGCAGAAGAATCACTTTAGCTAAGCGGCCAGTTGAACATAACACATACACTAAATAAAGGCGTAACATAAACGCACCCCAAAAGTTGCTCAGCTTAGGCATACCTGTTGTCAGGATATTGGATGGCTGGACAGTTCGCTAGTTTGAGCGAAAGGTGTAAATGGGAAAATCTGAAGAAAAAAATGACGGTCCTGTCATTTCCCTAGTAAATAGACCTAGATAACCAGAAGTGTCAATAGGATACCAAACAGTACACATTGGGACGAGCATCGCCACAATACCTTGTTCAACGCCACAACAAACGGCGTTTTCCGGTTCTTGAGCAAGTTGAGAGATTCAATGGTCTGCGGCTCCAGGCCGTGCATAATGTCGACCACCAACACCGCAATATCACAGAGCGACGATCCTCTCGAACGCAAGTTACTAAACACAAGACACACAGGAGAAGAAGAGAAGGGTTCGCAGGGCACAGCATCTAGCAAAGACTGGAGTTGCAGTACCTGCAGAGCAGTAAAGCATGGAGCGCATTCAAAAGAGCTATCATAAGATGCACAAGGCGTTGCTTTATGAATGTCTTTTACAAACACTTTGGAGGTTCGAACAAAACACACACACACACACACACACATACGCACAGGTTTCTCTTACCTGAAAGATTCGTGACCAGGTGTGTCAATGATGAGAAGACCAGGCAACTTGAGATCAAACTTTGATGCAAACTGCAATCACAGCATCAGGTAAACAAACAAGCCATTCACACCAGGAAAAAGAAAGAATGCGGCAGCTAACAAAGGTGACAACAATGGACAGCAACAAGACTAGCTCGCCTACATGAACAAATCACAACCAAGAACAATTATATGCTGTCTTGTGCTTTTTCAGTCTCACCTCTTTGCACATCTTAGTTTGTTCAACAATAGCATCAAGGGGAACATTGGTAGCACCAATTTGTTGAGTAATACCACCAGCTTCACCATCTTGAACATTTGTGTGTCGTAGCTACAGACAAAACATAGCCAAAAAGAAATGCAAAGAGTCAAATACAATACGAGGTCCCCCTGTGTGTGTCTCTCTCTCTCTCTCTCTCTCTCCCTCTGTCTGTCTCATAAAGCAAGAGATTGTGTGTGGTTCGGCTATCTAACAGTGTCTGTGTCTGTCTGTCACACACACACTATCGCAGACGTAGCATGATCAGGCAATGTCAAGGTTGCACCGTCATAGTTGCACAGGTATACAACTATACATACACCTTACCTTGTCCAAGATCTTGGTTTTGCCAGTGTCGACGTGACCCAATACACAGACGACGGGTGCGCGGAACTCCTCGCATTTGGCCTGCTCTTCCTTGAACTTCTTGTTGCGGCGCTGAAAGTGTTGAAAAAGCAGAGAGGCACGTGAGCATGCGTACGGGAAAATAGTAAATACCGGAACATGAATAGCAACGACTGCTTGCGGTACACTGTGAATCAAGTACTGTACCCATTAATACCAACACTGAAACACTGATGGCAAAACGTGCTAACGTACACCGCATCATGATATAATCGGCGGCCCATAGCCGCCCATCTCTTCTATTTCCTCTTTAACACCGAAGCCATTCAGCATAAGCAAAGCTGCGTACTAAGCCTCTTGCCGATGCGCTTCGACACAAAGGTGTGGATAATAACAATAACAATGATAGCCGCCCAACTAACAGCTGGTCCTGAAAGAGGAAATACGCAACAGTTCATGAACCAACAGTTCAACAGTCCAACAGTACGCGTTGCGCGTTATATTTCCACAGGCACCACTGGCCGCCGCTAGCAAGAGACAGGTATGAATAGTACACACCTGTATTCTGAATTCGGCCCGTTCTCTAGCCGTTAAACTGTCATCTTCACTACTGGAGCTTTCCTCCTCGCTGCTCTCCTCCTCGGATGAATCGTCGTCATCGTCGTCGTCTTCATCGTCTTCGCTGTCACTCTCCGAATCATCTTCTTCCGATTCCTCCTCTGCTGCATCCTCCTTGCTGCTCGCAGATGGTTTGGTGGTTTTGGCGGACGGTGATGCCGGAACTCCTTGTGCTGCTGCTGCAGTCACCATCAACACAACCAACAAAGAAAGCAAAAGACATCATTTAATATCTTATCTGTAGTTGAGGAGAGAACAAGGATCTGTTTTCCCAACGCTTGTGTGACCGGTTTTGGATCGTCTCTTTGCCGACTTTGGTCCACAGACAACCCTCCGTCGTCTTCCAGACCAGGTATGAGTGCAGCAGAAGAGGATTTGGCTTATCTGTGGTTGAGGAGAAAACAAGTAGCTGGATCTGTTTTCCAATCTGTTTTCCCAACGCTTGTGTGAACGGTTTCGGATCGTCTCTTTGCCGACTTTGGTCCACAGACAACCCTCCGTCGTCTTCCAGACCAGGTATGAGTGCAGCAGAAGAGGATTTGGCTTATCTGTGGTTGAGGAGAGAACAAGTACAGTGGCTGGATCTGTTTTCCAATCTGTTTCCCCAACGCTTGTGTGACCGGTTTTGGATCGTCTCTTTGCCGACTTTGGTCCACAGACAACCCTCCGTCGTTTTTCAGGCCAGGTATGAGTGCAGCAGAAGGGGATTTGGCTTATCTGTAGTTGAGGAGAGAACAAGTACAGTAGCTGGATTTGTTTTTCCAAACGCTTGTGTGACCGGTTTTGGATCGTCTGTTTGCCGACTTTGGTCCACAGACACCCCTCTGTCGTCTTCCAGACCAGGTATGAGTGCAGCAGAAGAGGATTTGGCCTCGCTGAAACAACTGGCGAAGGACCATCAACTGGGTGGCTACTCTGGCAAGTCCCGTCGGCAGCTGGTCACCATGCTTCGGGACAACAGGATCGGCAGAGTCTCAGGTCAGGATAATTCAGTTTTAAAGAATGATGCAGCCTCAGGCCAGGATGCCACAGTACGTGGGAATAATGAGTTTGTGAATCGGGCTTCAGAAGGTCTTACTTCGGAAATTAAAGTACTGGCAGGCCAATTGTCAATAATCACAAGCCTACAACAGCAGGTAGCCGAGCTGATGGAGGAAGTTCAGAAATTGAAACAGTACGCTCCAATGGGCACAGCAAATCCCGTAGTCAAAGATGCACCAAGCAGTGAAATGAGTACGCTGCAGGAGGGCAGTTTGGATTCTCCCGCCACCTTTAGCCAGCACCACCCAAGCACATCCACATCCACACACCACAACAAAGCAAGCGGCCACTCTTACAACGCACATCCACTGTACAGCTCTGTGACCTGACACCAACCAGCACAGCACATCAAGCCCCACCGGTACAACGACCTCCAGCATCCCACGCTACAACCCCGTACCGAAGTTCGGTTACATCGTACTACCACCAGCCAGTTAAAAAAAAAGGAGAATCTGCGTGGTGCCGCTCGCGTAAAAAGCGCTGCACTTCACGTCAGCAATATTGATCTGGGGTGCTCTGCAGAATCAATCGCGAAATGGTGCGCCGCCCGGAAGGTTACCGTGATAAAGTGTTCCGTGGCAGAACCTCGCTACTTTGGCCTCGCGTATGCACACGTTGTCATACCTGATGATAATCTGTCAACCGTTAACGGTGAGGGGTTTTGGCCATCAAACTCACACGGCCACGTCAGGCTCATCCTCGTGCCTTGACTTGCTCGCTACAAATTATCCCGACCTGGTAACTTCAGTTTCGCCTACTCCACCCCTAGGGGCTTCTGACCACTGCCCAATACTCTGCCGTTCTGGATCCCGGGGTTCACTTCTGCCAGAGACTCGCCTGACTCCCGCCCCCAGGCCAACACTGTCAACTATGCATTCAAAAGTGTCCCCGCCCACATTTGGTCAGCAATCAACAATACTTTATGTCCACTCACTGGGACGGCAAGCTGTCATCGGTCAATGTCGATGACGCAATGGAAGGATTTACTTCGAAGTAGTTCTGTGCTCAGCCGAGTTTTTGCCCAGTACCTTTCTGATTATCAATACAGCGATCCCTCCGCTGGGTACCAAGGAAAATCCAGCTGCCAATACCCTCCATGGGTTGGTAATGAACTTCGAGCAAAGATCAAACGAAAATTTGACCTGTACAGCGTGAGCATGAAATACCCCTCCTCAGCGAATATTCACGCCAAGCGCCAAAGAAATAATGTTAAGTCCCTTACCAGATCAGCCTACAGAAAGTACATCCGCTTTATCCAAGCCACACTCACTGATCCCCAACGCCCCACACTCTACAAATCCGTGCGTATGCAGAAATTTACGAAAGTCCCATACACCTGATGGGAAGGTGCTGTCTAGTCCTGCCGACCGAGCTGATTTACTGAACAAGCAATTTGCCTCCGTGGCTGTCCATGATGATCCTACCATCGTGATCCCTCCGCTTACCCGCAACTCGGCACATACGTTATCGACACTTGTCACTACCCCCGCAGCAATCCTTAAGTACCGTAAAGTCTTGTATAAAAGCCGCGGCTTCTATGACTTTCTTGGTGACATTTTGCCGGCTTCTATATGAGACAGGCTTCTATACAAGCCAGGTATTTCTATGTATGTCAACACTAAAACCAGGCTTATGTGTGATTTGATGGGCCCAAAATTGCGGCTTCTATTCGAGGGCGGCTTCTATTCAAGTGCGACTTTTATACCAGACTTTACGGTATATCAGAAAACTGAAGAACAATAAGTCACCTGGCCCCGATTGTATACCCAATGCAGTCTTCAAATGTTTGGCCCCGTCTATATCTCTTCCCCTATCCCACATTTCAATCTTTCCTTCTTGTCAGGTGTCTTCCCATCATCCTGGAAATCTGCCCGTGTTGTCCCCATCTTCAAGAATAAAGGCCACCGCTCTCAGCCCGGTAACTATAGGCCCATTTCGCTCCTTCCATCGATCTCGAAACTGCATGAGCGTATCGTGTAAGACCAGCTCTACTGTTTCGTGTCCCCTCAACTTCACCAGGCCCACAATCAGGTTTTAGACGAGGAGACTCCACTACCTTCCAGCTATCCCGTCTCGTGCAGCAAATATCTTCCCTCCGTGACACCCGCCAGCTGGTCGCCCTCTGTTTTTTTGATCTGGCGAAAGCCTTCGACACAGTGTGGCATCGCGGTCTGCTCGCTAAACTGCAGTACAGTTTTGGAATAGAGGGTCAAGCTCTTGCTTGGCTTCAAAGCTACCTCCATAACAGACGGCAACATGTTGTTGTGGAGCGCGTGACATCCGGCTCTCTACCGGTTCACTCAGGAGTACCGCAGGGTTCGATTTTAGGACCACTATTATTTATCATGTACATGAACGATCTACCTGCACAGGTTGAGGACTGTCGCTGTATGCCGACGACACGACGCTGCTAGTCAGCAATGGAAATCGGCAGGATCTAAACCTTTCCTGTGGCATCCACGGAGTTCTCAAATGGATGAAACGCTGGAGATTGCAGCTAAACCTAGAAAAAACCAAAATTCTCATGTTCCCTTCTGCTGATAACCTGACCTCCTTCACAAGCCCTCTACTGTAAAAGCCATTATTCTAACGAGGCGCATATATAACGATTTCCCAAAATTGACTAGTTTACGTGTACCAACGGTAACGATTTTCACTCATTCTCAACGCTCAATGGCACAGTATATGTATCGATTTCTGTATAACGATTTCTATTTTAACGACAGATTTCTCCTTGTTAACTCGTTAGAGTTAGCACTTCGTTATATATATGGCTTTTACAGTATTTCCCCAATGCATAGATGTTGTCCGTGACCATAAGCACCTTGGTCTTTTTCTGGACTCGAACCTCAGCTGGCAGCACCACATCGACTTTATCTGCCATCGCACAAGCCAGGCACTTGGTATGCTTATCGCCCACTGTTACTATTTACCTGTCTCATACAAAATTCTTTTTTATAATGCATATATTCGCCCCATGTTTGACTATGCTGATATTGTATGGAGTGGTCTGAATGCTACGTACGCTAACAAGCTTGAAACTCATCACAAAAAGCAACTGAAGACATTATTTAGACAGCCCGGCGTTTCCCTTCAGTAGAATTGTACGAGCTTGCTCACGCCACACCTCTTTCCAAGAGGAGGCACCTCCACCTCTGCACCTTTGCACATATGTTTCGCCTCACCTTGACTCCTTTAACTGGTTTTCAAATGCTGACAGGACTCGCAATGCTATAACCTTACCGAGAGCAAACACCTCTATTTTGCTGCGTTCTCCACTTTTTATCGCAATTTCCGACTGGCTCCGTCTCCCCCAGAGTCTTAAACTTTCATCTTCTATGCGATCGTTCAAAGCACAACTGTCGGTGCTCGCCTAATCTAACTCCTGCTCATGTGTCCGGTCTTCATTTGCTTCTGCTCGTGTCTGGTCATTTTTTTCCCCCTGTCAACTGCATACTAGTATTTGTTTTGTTTTTTGTTCTTCGCCGTGGTTGGCTATCACCCTCTCCCCTCTGATTGGCTGTTGTTTTTTCAGCTATGGGATGAAGCAATAATAATTGGCTACAAGCGAGGGTCCCTGGTTCGAGTCCTGGTGGTGACAGTCAATTTTTTCTTCACACTTTTCCCGTCTGTCTCTTTCCCTCAAACCAGTTAATAATTATATACCGTATATCAGCACCTTTAAAGCCATGGCCTTATATTCGAAACACCGCTGCTTTCCTAGCTATTCTAGATGCAAAATGACTCACCCACTACGCCATGCCATAAGAGTCAAAGTCCACACCGAAATTTCAATCTAAATCCACTTGTTCACCCTTCCTGCTGGTCTGTAAGTTTGCAAGCATAGTACGTATTCCTCCATTTTTACAGAACATACTTCGAATGTCATTTCATTTATGAAGCCTATGGCTTTATAACTGAGACTGGCTTTATAATCGAATATAAAACCATGGCTTTAAAGGTGCGGACATACGGTAATAATAATAATAATATTGGAGTCTAATGAGTGATGTGCTTGCTCAGAGAGAAAGAGAGAGAGAGAGAGAGAGAGAGAGAGAGAGAGAGAGAGAGAGAGAGAGAGAGAGAGAGAGAAATAGAGGAGAGACAGAAAAGAGGTTTAAACTTTTCAGCTGTAACCCTGAGTTCACGCACAAGAATCACACTGCACATGATCCATTGTGCGTGAAGTATCACGGTGCACTGAGGTCGCTCTCTGTCTATCAGCCTGCCTGTCTGTCTGCCTCTGTCTTATCTCTTTCCATCTCTGTCTCTTGAGCTGCCAGAGCTTGCTCAAGCCCAAATTAAATATTTGTTGTAGACGGTTGCTGTGCTGGAGGGTGCAACGTGCCACAAGTCATTGCAACACCAACACCAACCTTTGCTGCCATCTTCATCATCAAGATTCATTTCATCCCAGGCAAGATCCTGACACAGTAGCACAGATCCACATACACGTGCACAAACGCGCGCACACGCAAACGTACGCACACGCACACTTACACACACACACACGCGCGCACACACACACATACACACACACGGAGAGAGTCAGAAGAGAAAGCATTCCTTAAAGCGACACTCCAGAACTGCAGTTTACCACGCACATATTTTACAAAAGAAGGATATTCAGTGCACATCACCACCAACTCAGGAGGGTCTCTTTCAAAAGCAAGACAAGAGGCAACGTTTCACGGCGTTCTGCCACGTTCTATCCAAGAAACGGCTGCCACCGTTTTGACAAATGGATGAATTCATCAAACAAAGTATCGGTATGCCATTTTTCCAATCAATGAAGTGGAGGGTGGACAAGTGAGAAAGATAAAACTACATTTCTCACGGTTTGTGCAAATACAGTACCAGGAAAGGCAAAGAACATGATCGAATCGTTACGAGAACGGGTTGACCGATAAACAAGAACTGGACTCGTTACTCGTTTCACCCCTAGTATTCAGTATGGCAACATTGGCTACGAGGAAATTGACACACATAAGAATCAAGTACAACAATACAGCACTGCAGCACACACTAGACACTTAGAAATGACATACCTCGTCGGCGGATTGGGCAGCATCACCGTTGGTGGCTCCCTCCGTAGTGGTATCAGTACCTTGCATGGGCTCTGTACATTAGGGCATGCGCAACAAACACAACGAAGACAGTGAAGAGCTGAGGTAGGTGCTGCAGCCATTTAAAAGTAGTTCAGGATATGATCACCAACGGCACTATACATACGAAGAGCATACACATACACGTATGCACACGACTTCCGGCCGTTCCTCACCTTCCGCAGCCCGCGTTGTTTCTGTTGCTTGCTCTTCGGCATCTTTCTGCGTCTGCTTTTGTTTGTTCCTCGTTCTTGTGCCATACTTGACTTTCACTTTCTTGGCTTCTTCATCACGAGGCTGCGATGCAGGCACGTTAATGCCTGCAGAAATGCACAATGGGGGAAAGAAAATACGTCGTGGCACGATGAAGAATGAGGGTGGGCGGGGTGGGGGTGATGCCTTCCCTTTTCTAAGCAAGCGGCACGATGCTTCAGACATCGATGGTGTATTGTGCACACATTCCGAGAGGATACAAGAACACTTCCTTAACGTTTCGGAGAGTCTCGGACTTTTCCAAGTGGATTTAAGAACGCACCCGTACTCTTAGGGACCACCCGGGGTTACCGAGAAAAGGCCTACACACACACACACACACACACACACACACACACACACACACACACACACACACACACACACACAAACACACACACACAGAGGCGCACACGAGTAACCCTGCACATACCCTGGGCACGTAATGCTTCTAGCTGCTGCTCGGCGCGTCGTTTCTTCTCCTTCTCAGCCTTCGTCAACAACTTGCCTTCAGCCTTGAGACGTAGTTTACGTTGCTGTTTACAAAAATCGAAAGTACACAAGAGCAAAGCCATGAAAACATTCTAGCATGTTTATTCCTGAACATTTTCAGAGTGTTTCTATTAGCGGAATTACAGGCAAAGGAACAGTATTGAATAGCAACCCTAAACAAATAAACAAAGGTGTTAAAGATACAGAGAGTGAGACACTACCACGAACGAGTTCATTTAATTTAAGTCACACGAATAAAGATCACAATAGAGAGAGACAAAAAAACACTTCAGTCAACACACAACCTGAGTGCGAGTATTCAGTTTTCTCTGCTGACATACAGCAAAGTAGTATGCTACAAATAACTTGTTTCAAAATGCTAATTTCACACTCTTTGTATCTGTATTTAGGGTTGTTAACCCTTTGAGAACGCATGACATAATTATTATTACGTCACGTAAAGTGTCACTGCTCCTACGGGTGACGTATTATTACGCCGTGAGTGTACATACAGTCAACTTCACTAATAACGACTGCGGATATAACGACAATTCGCGAATAACGACAGAATTTTCATGCCCAGAGCAAAGTCCCATCCAACTGTAATACATATTATGAGATTTTGGGTATAACGACAATTCGCGAATAAGGACACTTTTTTGATGCCCCGCCAAGTGTCGTTATAAGCGAAGTTGACTGTAGCGTACAAACGCGATTTGCATGAACCGGGTGAGTTCAAACTATTGTAACTCAGTCAATTCTTGGCCGATTCTCACGATCGAAACATGTTTCTGCAAGAGAAAACTCTCAGCTTGCGATAGAAACAATCGCCGAAGCGATACGACCTCGGGTTGTTGAGATATGGGACTCGACACGGCAAATTCAAATCGATTTTTTAATTTTTTTGCATACTCTGCAGAACGCGTATTTTCCCTTTTCGATCATTTTTGCGCTACCTGCTGCCATGGAAAGTAGATTCAAATGATGGTAGCGGATCTCGGGAGTCCTCAAAAAAATGTTGAGCTCGATACGAGCAAGGAGAGTGAAATGGCAGCTGAGGATTTGATCTCTTGGCCGTGCTCAAGTCTGTCGAGCGCGTGCGTGAAGTTTGCCAGACTGTAGCATGGGCTTTTAGTGTCGCTCCGAGCCGAGCTTGGAGCTATTTTGTTCCTCGCCTCAAGACCGTTGCAGGAAGCTCAAGATCGTGGAATTCGTCCAAGGGAAGGTAAAGTTATCGATCCTTGAACAGCTACTACTTTCATAGGGAAAACGCGACTTTTGCAGGTGTTGACGTGGGGCGGCATTCAGGTAGCATCGTGCTCAAAAGGTTAATCACCACCTTTACTTTGCCTGTCATTTCTCTCATGAGAAGGCCCACACACGTTCAGGAACGAACATGCTAAAATAGCGCCTGCAGACACACATGCTTGGAGAATACGGAAGGCGACAGTACACATGCAGTCAAGGTGGTGCGGAACTTACCTTCTCCTTCTCCTTCTTAGCATCTTTCTTCACTTTTTCTAGTTTTTTCTGTGAGGGCGACAAGATAAACGTCACGATGAGAGAAATAGGAAAACCAGTTACTTCACTGTGTATACATCACAGCCAGCACACTTGCCAATCCCCCCACGCCAGCACACGCACCCGCCCGCGCACACATACACACACCCACACAAATTATCAGTGATCCAACACCTGCTATATCAAGAGACATCCAAGGGAAATGACACAGTACTGGTTTCAACGGGGAAGTTGAGAGCATGTATACTAGTAGCTGTGAGATTAAATAAAAAATACAATGAACACACTGACACCCAACCACCATCAGAGAGGTTCCGCGCTATGTAAAGTTGAGCAACTTTACGTAAGTGGGCGGGAAAACCCCGTGAGTTCGCACTCCACTTACGGAAAGTTGTCTATGGTGAGTATGAACATGGGGCTCCACTAACGTAGGTGCTCCGGAAGTGGACTGGGGGTATAAATTTACGACTCTCTCTCTCCTTCTCTCTCTCTCCCTCTCCCTCTCTCCCTCTCTCTCTCTCTCTCTCTCTCTCTCTCTCTCTCTCTCTCTCTCTCTCTCTCTCTCTCTCTCTCTCTCTCTCTCTCCCTCTCTCTCTCTGTTGTACACTTTTGCGTCCGGAGCTACCACATTAGCTACGCAGTTCGAAAACTCTGTATGGCGGAACACGGATCCACATGAAGTGTATGTAATACTTTCCGTAGATCGATTACAATTTTTACAAACACAATTACGCAGTGCGGAACCTCTCTCTAGTCCAATCAGATTACAGCAGCACAGCCGTCAGCAAAACACACACCTGTTCTTCAAGGGCTTGTATCCGTGCTTCTTCCTCCTCCTCTTTCCGTCTCTCTTCCTCCTCGGCTTCAGCCTTCAATCGATTGGTCTCTTCCAGGGCTGCCTTCATGAGAGCCAAAGCACCCTGCAAATAGAATAGGAATTCGGAAACCAAACAAAAGAACCGCCTCAGCGTTGTAAAGTTCAAGAGATCTCCTGCTCTAAGGCAACGCATAGTTCAACATTGACGCTGACTGAAAAAATTACAGAATTGTGCTTGCTGCCTAAAGTTATATACAGAGTGCAATGCCCGGCAAGTGTTGACCGCCACCATTTTCACTGACTTTGAACGAGTGTGAAGATATCAAACCACCACCAGGCACCAGCTGTTCAGGCAGCGAGCAAGGACGGGACAAAGTTCTACATGAAATAGACAAGCTGGCTACATGTAAAGGCGTCTGCTACACAGCCTTGGAGACTTACCTTCCCTGGAGCTCCTTTCCGCTTGGTTTCTTTCTTCTTTTCTTCAGGCTTCTTCTTATCTTTCTTTTTCTTTTTCTTACTACTTGATGCATCGCCGCCTGCAACATGCAAACAATACACACACGCACGCGTACAAACACACGTCCGCACATGTACAATGGCACAAGTACCAACTTGATAAGCCCGTATGCTCACGAGTAAAGATAAACTGAAGGTGCTCTCAACAACTGCCAACGTACCTTCTCCCCCATCCTCATCGCCGTCGGCTGCAGTTGCACTTGCTGAAGCTGCAGGCGATGCTTCTGCTGCTGCTGCGGGGGCATCTTTTTCAGCTGAAGCGCTCTCAGTTTGGTCGGGCGTTGCTGCCCTTGGCGCTGCTGACTGTCCGCCAGAAGTTGCTGCTGTGACACAAACAGAAACATGGCCAAAGCGTCTTGAGGTAGTCGAGATGTCTTCCAAAAGGTTCAGAGTCAAGTACAACTGAAGAGATAAATCTGACTTTGACTTGAGCGTCGATGCCTGTTGAAAACTGTGAATACGACGGCCGTCAGAAACAATTTCTAACACCATGGTAAATAAGCACTCGACTAAAGGGACGGACTCTATTAGCTCATGGACTAGTCACTTGCATACACTCCATGCCATACAACAGGCTCTCTGCACAAGACCACGTCGCCACATGCATAGGCGTACAGTTGTCATCTGCAAACCGCAACCCGACCTATTCTAGTGGAGCCAGCACAAACTTAGCATGTATGCCTATTCATTTCAACGGGGGATTTGCACATGGTTTGCAGCACAGAGCCATGACCTCTGGAGCAAGACACTCAGTTGTCAAGGACAAAAGCTATCGGGGCATCGTCACAGCAGCTAGAATTTACCGTATACTAGTACATTGCACATGCAGATAATACGGCAAGCCACACCAGGATAAACATACCTTTCTTCTTCTTCTTTTTCTTCTTGTCCTTCTGGCCGGATTCCTCGGCCTCTGCTGTCAGGTACAAAATACACATACAAGAAAAGGGTTTTAAAAGTACTGCACACACACACAGCTACTAGTACATGTGATTCGGTTTGTGTTGACTTTCTCCTGATCTCCAAACCGCCAACATGCACCAATAGATAACAAAGTACAGCTGTGCACTTGACAGTTGCATGATTGTACTGTACATTGTGGGACAACCTCACACAGGCACATCATCTCTCCGTGCTGCCATATGGTCTCTATTCCCTCCAGCTACATCTCCTTCAAGATCATGTGTTCTCAAGACATGATCACAGCAGCACACATGTTCACACACACACACACACACACACACACACACACACACACACACACACACACACACACACACACACACACACATACGCACATGCACACACACACGCGTGCACGCACACAGTGCACATGCCCTCACTCGCGTAGCACGATGCGCAATGCACTTCCTGTAACACTCACCACCATCGCCGGTATTAGCAGTGGCTGCTGCTCCATTAGCTACAGCAGCGCCATTACCAGTAGCTGTTGCTGCTGCTGCTGCCGGCGTTGCCTCTGACTCTGTTTTGGCTGCTGCTTGAGCTGCATGGTTGGCAATGAGCGAAGAAAAGATCACAAGTAATGACACACAAGCAAAATGTAGCAGTTTATACTAGTTCAGCAGACACCACAGACACCACAGACAAACAGACACAGACACACACACAGACACACACACACACACACACACACACACACACACACACACACACGTGTACATGAGCAACAAGACAAAAAGCTCTACATCGCTTCTTATTTCAAAAGTAGCATTTGCCAAGCACAGCTCAGCTGATGAAAGGGAAATATTCTACAGGGTAACCCGTATTACAATCCAGCACTTGCAGAAGTAATACTTTATCATACGCTCATAACAAACTGCTCAAATATACTAATACCTTCTTTCTTGGGAGGTTCGACACCAGTCTCAATAGCTTCCAGTTCTGCCAATACATCATCCTCCCTGTACAGGACAAGAAAGGCAGAAGCAATGCAAGTACCATGCTGAAATATCCCATCAGATCGACGCCTGCTCTGTTCATTGTTGGTAACCGGTTGTTCATTTCCGGCAAACGGTCAAGCCCGCATGACATCTTCAAAGTACACACTGTGCTGTAAACAGTTTTCCTGCATGTCAAACACACTGTAAACAGTTGTCCTGCATGTCAAACATACTGATGGTAAGTACTGGTAATCTGTGCACTGTTCATCGCAAACCTTCGCACCGACAAACACAGCCTGAAGAGTATAATTTCCACTCCCCCCTCTCTCTCTCTCTATGTTTGTCTGCCTGTGTATGCATGCATGCATACATGTGTGTTGGCCTCCAAGCCCAACATCATAATATGACCAATTACTGCCATCTCTGCTATTGCACCAAACGGCTGTGCAGACTGCACCTAATCTCCCAGCTACACGTTGTACAGCACATACTGCCAGCATAGCTGTGACGATGGTGTTCTAATTTGTGTGTACAATGCATAGTCCCATACACACAGACAGATACCCTAGTGTCAACGCAGCACCCATTGGCTCATCGCCACTTGCCCACTAGCACACTGCTCGCAGGTGTATCTTATTGCCCACATAACTAAAGCAATCATCTCTACATGTGCACTGCAGGGCTTTGCACACTAGGCTATTACTAAGTTAACAGTTTCCCCTGGAGAAATGATAAAACTAGTTCCAGCTGGGTGTCAGATACTGAGAAGATCGGCAACAGCGTGATAGCACTTGACGCGACGCTGCCCCTCGCCATGCACCCCTCTCCACACTGCCACACATTAGCCTCCCTGCACGCAAATGCCCTGCTGAGAAGCAGCGAAGAAGTGAAACCAAGGCTGTCACCATCGCCGTCATACCTTGCTATAGGTTGTCACTAAGCATCAACTGTGTGTCCACCAGCTACCGACATTCAGGTGTCTTCCACTGGAGTGACCTCTGCTGAAGCTACCGTTTTTTTCTTGCTGCTCAGCGCTTATTACAATCATCTATGTGTGATGACTGTTTTGTTTTACTTCAGCGTATGGCATACCGTATTTCCGCGCATATAAAGCCATGGCGTTATATCCGAATATAAGGCCACCCTCACTTATAAAGCCATGGCGTTATAAGTGAACAAAATTCAATGTGGAGGAAGTAGCATCTGGCGTTAAAGGTGAGTTCAATTCTTTCAGTGAACCTACAGCAGCGGTGATTCTCCCTGCATGTACCCATCCCCACTGTCACATGCCATACCGCCACCACACCTTCACACAAGGTTGTATGCCACCTTGTACACAATAGGTTCACAATTTGAAATTTTCAGGGAAAATTAAAAAAAAACATTGATGCTCGACATGAAAGTGCAACGGCACCATACGAGTACTCGAAGTTCATACTCTGCCGTTTTTTGCATGTACGCGTCTCTCACTTTTAGCGCCATGGCGTTAAAACCGAGGCTATTTTCTCCAAAAATGTGGGCCAAAACAGCGATGTTTCACCTATAACGCCATGGCTTTATATGCGCGGAAATACGGTAGATCTTTGGCCTTCCCGCAGAAGCCCTCGAAGAAGAAGTGCATTCTGCTCATTCACGACTCATTTCTGCCGTCTACTGTAATTTCACAAATTTTCGGTGTACTTTTATTTTCGGTACTTTCGGTGTATCTGTTTCATACCTAAAATTTCAATACACCGAACAAACACCAACACACATAATCCAATAGGGAACTGCTGCTCTGTACCGAAAACTTCTGTTCACCTAACCTGGCCTTTTGCCCTCATACCGAAAATATTGAGCACCGAAAATTTCTGAAATTAGAGTATTCCAAACTACGCTCAGATCTTGAATTGCTCATGCGACGGCAAGACGCAGTTTTAATCATCATGTTATGACTGTTTTGAACAATTCTCCTCAGTGGACAGGCCATAATATTGCATTTCAATCTCCATAGCAACAAGTTTCATTGACGAATTTGGTTGCTGCAACCACGGAGGTGGAGCAAAGTCAAGTCTGATATGATGTGAACCATTATTTTCAAACATATAATTACTACACACAATCCAGCTTTTGAAACTACAGTACTGTCCTCTCGCCGTTTATTTAAAATTCAGTGAAATAATTGTCTGGTATGAACCATATTTCCAAATAAAGAATTACTGCAAAAGTCCAGCATTTGAAACTACTGTCCCGTGCCGTATATTTAAAATTCAGTGCAATAATTTACAGACATGTCCAGACGTTCATGCATAACACCACCCACCAGGAGATTGTTTCTAAATTTCTATTCAAAGCATATACCGTACGCTAGTACACTGCATTATGAATTATTTATCACAAATAAAATTAACTCAAAATTAGTGGTGTGCACGGGTAGTCGGGTACCCGTGCTACCCGTGAGGACCTCGGGTAGACGGGTACCGAATCGTACCCGAAAACCCGAAGTCGCAGATGACATCATGTACAAAGAGTAGAGAGAGAGGTCTACAGTGCACGTGTACAAATGATTCACGGATGTCTACCCAGTGCGTAAGGGAAGAGGCCGGTGTGCATTGTGGTCTTACCATGGGAACATTACCCGATCGGGTACCCGTGCTACCCGTGGAAACCTACCCGGACCCGATACCCGAAGAGAATGCTACCCGACTCAGCCCTACTCAAAATACATACCGGTAGGCACAACACATGCCCTATAGTACAGGTTATAGAGCTAGAGGAGGACAGCGTGTGTTCTTGTCCCTTAGCTACACACCACACATACATACACAGTGCTGTAGCACTGACGTGCGGGTGTACACGATCCACTTGCCATGTTCATTCAGACTTCATTCAGACTTTATTTGAGGGATTCTCCAAAAGTAAACGGATACATATCATATCATATCATTTACTTTCATGTGCAAAAGCAATGTGTGCAGAGCACATGACTGTAATGATGTACAGTCGACTAGTCATGTACATACTGTAACCGCTTGATGTGCCAAGGAATAGATACTACTTACTCGAAGTTACTAGTAGATATACGCAATGGGAGTACAGTCATGTATATAGCAGGGTACTGTATATTATTATGGTGATAACTAACATAATGAAGTGTGGATGATGTCGGTGCGTGAATCAGGTGTGAATGGCAGTGTGAGTGAAAGCGATAACTCAAAGCCGGTGACATATGCTACACATACTAGTACATGTAGTACAATGCACAATAATGCAATGTGCCACGTTACATTTAAATATGTGTACATGCATTGCATAGCTATGACGCAATAATTGTAGGTTTTGAACAAATGTACAAAGCTGGCCCTCTCTGAACGGAAAACGCTCCTTTCACACAAAAGAGATACGAATAGCTTTCATAAAAGCCCATAGAACGAAACTCACCAGTCAGTGTCCTTCTTCTTCTTTCCCTTGCCCATGTTGCGGCCTGTGAGTGGGCGATTTCTTTCCTAATATTTTCATAAAGGCAAGGTTGACGACATCAACCTAACCAGGATCGGAACAACACACTATCACCGGACCAGAGATGTGTAAGACTATCATGAAGAGGAAGGAGGAAACTCAAATCGATTATACAATCTGCTATCCTCGTATTCACTGACTTCACCGCAACAACAGATGACTATTATTTTCTTCAAGACAAAAACAAAGCTACTCAGCTCAGCAACATCCAAATCATGAGGTCGAGAAAGTAGTGCTGCTTGCTTTTTAGTAATTTTACCGTAAAAAAATGATCACGATCAAACGGGCTTGCACGCGGCGCGCGGTGTGCACGCGCGTGGGCCGGTACGATCGACGATCGATCGTAGATATCTACGGCCGGACGGCGCGGGCGGGTCGTAGACACGACTTGACGTATGACGTGCGCGTGACGTGACTACTCGTACTGTACGGAGCTCCATCTCGAGCAGCACGGTAGGAGGACCGCCGGCCGCAGCGTAGCGCCGGGAAACTTACCGCCGGCGCCGCTGGCACAGTTTTTGAAGCAGTCACTCGTATACGCGTACTCCAGTCTCCAGGCCAGGTATCCGCACTCGTACTGAGTGATCTGGTGATGGCAGTAGATTTTACGTGGAGATCGAGATAGAACTGATGATCTGTACTGCACTGACCTACCTGGGCTCGGCTTGAGAGGAAAGAAGTTAGTTGTGAAAAGGTTGCTGAACGAGTATTACCTTTGCTTTGCGTAGAACATGGCTCAACAGAGTCAAGGTATTCAGAAGCTTCTTGCTGCAGAGAAGCAAGCAGCAGAAATAGTGGATGCTGCTCGCAAGCGTAAGTAAAGAATACGACTGTCGATCCGAGAAAATCAGAAATACTCAATCAAATTCTTCCACTGGCTGTCGTAGGTAAGACTCGTCGCTTGAAGCAGGCGAAAGAGGAGGCAGCCCAGGACATTGAAAACTATCGTCAGGAGCGCGAGAAGAACTTCAGAGACCAGCATGCCAAGGTATGCAGCCGATCGCTTGACAGAAACCTGCACTCCACATGCGTATGGCTGAAAATTCCGAAATAGCGAAAATTAATTTCACTGAGATATTCGTAGGTAGGCCGGTGTTGGGATGAACACGGCATCAATGCACACACACGTTGACACCCAATTCCTAAACACTGAGCCACACATCCGTGCCGTAAGTACATATCTGAATTTCACTGAGGTATGTAGCTAGGCTGGTGTTGGGATGAGCAGCACCAATGCAAGTACAGTACAATGCAAAAATACCATATTTCTTAGTATTGATTGGGACACACATACATGCTACAAGTAGATCAGTTTTGTTTGTTTTTCTGTGAAAACATTGAAAGCCAGCTGCCAGGCACACAGTCACCTCATGTCCATATAATGTGCTGCGTGCTTGAATGTTCCTTGTCATCCGAAATGTATTATCCGGTGCATTCGGTATTTCTCTACTGGTAGAGGTAGCTCTATGGGTTTGAGTAGGGCTGTTCAATATGTATTCTGTGGACGTGGTAGCTTTATCCACGCTACAAAGTCAAATGCTGGTAATGGCTTATGGAGTGTGCGTTTTGTAGCTTTTAGATAATGAAATCTTGCAGCCCACTTTTTAGAATAGACAATTAAATTGTGAAGGAACTCCAAAAGTACAGTACTGCTCAATGAAATCCGATCAAGTCATTTAAGTAGGTGTCAGGCGTTGCGCAACCCTAGACCTGCGAACACTGGAGGCGCATACTTGACTCACACGACCGGATCTCATTGAGCAGCACTGTAGTATGGAAGCAGGAGCGTGTTTGACCTTTCAGGGGGGGGGGGGGGGGGGGGGGGACATTCTCGTTGCGACATCGCGTCCTAACTGAGCATCCCTAAGTTTTAACACTGCACAAGTTAGCTTGATTTGTCACCACTGTCAGTGGTCCGATACAGTGCAGCAATACGATGAATCTTTGTCTTTTTGCAACTACGTGAAGTGCCCTTTACTGTGTTCTTTTTCTTCTTTTCCAGAACCAGGGCTCTGGCGACTCTTTCGCACAGCAGGTTGACCAAACCACAAGGCAGCAGCTGTCGACCGTCACCCAGCAAGTTGGCTTGAATAAGGACGCTGTGATGGCACGACTACTTGACCTTATCACCGATGTGCAACCCACAGTGCACCAGAACTTGCAGACATAGGCGTCACCGTTTTGTCATTCTTTTTTTAAATAGGAAAACATTTTACTTCTCAACTGATACTTTCTGTCATGAAACGTACGCTATTCGGTGAATAAATTATGCTTATATGATCAAATGTTACGAGTACTGTTACGGAGGACATGCCTGACCCGGACTGTGAGGTGTACATTATTTTCACTCTCAAAGTGCTTGCCCTGTCATTCATGCAGGTCACTGCACTCGCAGCAATTGATGACACCTACTGTTGCTTTATTCTCTATTATAGTTATTGCGTTGGGAAACAGCTGCGGGTGGTGCGTCTTGCCAAGCTGAGACAAACCAATGTGCCTGATTCTGATGGGAATGCTTCTTACAATGGGCCAAAGGAGTACCATGCTTTTTCCAGTTATACGTCGACCTGTTATGTCCTAAAAACAGAACTGAAAAGGGGGTAGTCGACTTACAACCGGGATTACACCGCTATTGTCGATCATGGCCCATCATCATGATCATTAAGCATGGTATTTATCATGATATTGAACCGAAAAAAATCAAGGCCCCAACCGGAGTCGACTTATAACTGGTAAAATGCGCGAGTCCTGTTTCCCGTACGAAAAACAAGTATAAATCACTTAGGCTTTACCCGATCTTTTGTTTGAGGATTCGATCAGCTTGTGCAGTGCTCTCACTGCAGGGCATCGGCTTTTATCTTGCAGGCAGACCTGTCCCCCGCGAATTCCGCGGCAATATCAAAAATTCCGTGCAGAATTCTGCAGCTGAAAACAGTAAATTCTGCGCTACTTCTGCAAATCCTTCTTTATCCTGCGGCAATTCTGCAAGGATAATGAGCATAAAAACAGAAAGAATTTCCGCAACCCCACGGAAGTTTGTTGTCCCTATAAATTCTGACCAAAAATTATGCGAAATCCTGGTCGAAAAAATAAAAGGTCTAAAATACACTGCAAGTTGATTTTGAAAGTCACAAGCAGGTTGGTTTGGCTGTGAAAATACATTGAAAGTCTCCAGAAAAAGCAGTTTTTCTCTCTTTTCGGCAATATTCCGCGGGATTTTCTGAATTCTGCGGACACAACTGGATTCTGCGGAAATTCTGCAATCCGCGGGACAGAGGCAAACAAAGTCCCAGGGCAGCTAATGTCAATGCATGCTGCTTCAAAGCACATGTACATTATGTATGACCCTTCACTCAAGAAAGACAAAAGGTTGACAGGGATGGGAGAGAATCCTCCTACAGTTTACAGGTAATATCAGAATTGCAAGTGAGAAAAATACATGTGCGGAACAGACCCGACACAGCCTAGCCTAGCCCTAGGTCCTGTGCTGGGAAAATGTGTTTCATGGCGTGTGACTGTGTAACACACTGGAACAGAGAAAATAAAACATAGCGATATTATGACTTTCACCATGAACGGCATAATGTATCAAGGAGTATTGCAGGCATGGCGCTAATTTCATGTTGACAGTGTCTGCACAGCAGCCTGACGGAAAAGAATTGATTTGTTTCGAGTATCGACATTGTGCACTGACAACCTAGGAGCATTGTGTACTGACTACTTATAGGAGTAGTACAGTGTCTTGTCTGCACAGCAGTCTCATATATACAGAAGCAACCCAGTAAAAGAAAGTATGGGGAACTGGTCACTCTCTGGCTAATACAAAGAGAACACAGGGGTTGCACAAAGGGAAGCTGACTAGACAAGACCAAGGAGGAAGAAACATAAGAAAGGGACGAAGAAAACCTAGTTGATGCAAGAGTGGGATCTCAAAATTTGAACTCCTTGTACTTTTTAGCTCCTTTTGACGAGTCGACTGGTTTCTTACGTTTCACTTGTTGCGGCTAAGCAAAACGAAACACACACACACACACACAAACTAGCATTACAGGACTTTGTATACTTCGAACTAGACTCTGCAGCCCTATCCATCGCGTCCTATAGGCAACTGTGCTCGCCGAGAACAGAACAAGATGATACTGTTGAGGACATTGAAATCCGGTCAGAAGTCAAGCGGCCATGGGGCGTTGGCCTTGCAGCCGTGAGTACGCATGATATTATGGTGTACACATTCATAAAACTCGTGCTGCACACGGCTGGTCCATTTTGCAGTGCATGTGAGCTACAGTGCGTGTGCGTACTAAGGGCGGCGGCCCAGGTCATTCCACAGGATTTCAATGACACACTGCAGCCATGAATACAGGGCAGCTTGCTAATGATATTCTGTTCCTGAATGATGACAATGATAACGTTATCACTAATTTATGTATACTGCCGGTGTTTTTGAAAGTACACACTCACACCATTGAGCCGTATCATTCAACACCCCCCTGAGAAAAGATTCTTGAATATTTTCTCAGAGGGGGGTTAAATTATAACGCTACATGTAAAAATACAGCACCATACATGTATGTGTTCCCGCAACGGAACCATGTTGCAAATGACCGGTGCTCCTGCACATCAAACACTTACTTTGTTCTGTGAGTCATCCACGGTGTTAGGCTGAAAAGACACACAAGCACATGCACATACACAATCAAGTAAGACATACAGTAGAACTGGATTGACACAGGGTCAGAATGCTCAAACGACAGTGCTGGCTAGTGAATTTACCGTCATGAATAAATACTGTCGGGTTGCACACAGCCCTATCACTAGGCTGTGCAGTCCACTGCGTGCAGCAATGTGGTACTGCAGAGCCTTACCACGCACGACATCCAGTGGCTATAACAACACTTCCTCTACTCCGAAGTAGTTCCATGCAACAACGCAATCAACGTGTGTGCGTGTGAGCCTGGAAGGAGGGTAAGGGAGCGAATGTGACATCGTTGTGAAGGGCCTACCAGTTACCACGCTGCAGAAATTCTTCAAAAAATCTGCAGTGCAATCTAGAATGGCAATATTCTCAGAATGCGTGGAACACAACAAGCACTTTAAAATTAACTCACCCCAATTTCATACACATGCTGCGAACCCATCATAGAACCGCCAACATTGGCACCCTTCTCGGGCAAGACCTCGTAAAGTGATGGAGTCTCCTCGCCTTCTAGAACCTCCTCTGTTGGCTCCACAGCGGTCTGCTTACGCAGTTCGATCAGCTCCGGTGTCTCCAAGCCAGCAGGGATTGATGTAAGACCACTTGGAGTAGCAAGGCTGAAAGACAATAGTAAGACGGAACAAACACAGAATAAGAGGAAGAACAAAAAGGTTACGAGTTATGACTAACGGTCCACCAAAAACGTAACCAGATATTATACAGTCAGATAGTGCGACAACAAGGCACAAATTGATAGGGGTACCGAGACATTTAGCGACCTGACACCTGGCTCCAACCTCTACCTACAAAGTACAAAGCAACAACCTAAAAAAAGAGGATATTTTTAAAGTAACAACTGTATGGGTTCAGCAAACACTAAGCTGCATACTGTAAGACATGTTATTATAACGAGTCGCAAATTTAACCATTGTCCAAAATTCATAGGCTAACGAGAAGATACCGGCCGGCACTTTAACGGTCTTGCAGTCTTGAGGCATATCCGCACATAACACATATGAGACCTTACAGCCTCAACAGAACTTATTATAACGAAGAAACGTAACTCGTTAAAACGTTAGATTTACTTCCTTGTTATATTATTTACATGTCTTACAGTAGTAGTATTGTCAAGCTGGAATCATCAGCTGGCACTATACTACTGATCACACGTAAGTACCGTACTCGCGCGATTAGTGCCCCTGGGGCACTCTTTTTTCAATGTCCATCACAGATGGGGCAGTATTCAAGAGAGGGCACTATTCAAGAGAGGGCACTATTTTTTCATTGCTGGTACATTCGCGTCATCCAGCATAAAACAAAGAAAAACAGAGCCTAAAGTGTACTGTAAACGCTCACGACTCCACAGAAACGGGAACAAGACCTGCGATTTTGTTCCTGAAAACACCAGTGCAAAGCAATGGCCAAGAACATTAGCAATAGAACACCAAACTTGCACATGGGCTTGGTTACAAGACCGGAGGTGTGGGGGGGGGGGGGGCACTATTCAAGAGAGGGCTTTATTTTTCACTGGCTCTAGGAGACTAGGGCACTATTCGAGAGAGGGCTCTAATCACGCAAGTACGGTATTCATGATTTTAACCACCAGCATGGCTACGTATTAGGGGTGAAACGGTTCCATGTTTTTCATGTTCGGGTACCCGAATGCCAGCATAGTTTCCCACGGTTCGGGTATCGGTTCCATGCACTCTTTTCTCCAGACCGACCAAATGCGTTCGTGACAATTATTTTCAAATAGAAACCATTTTTACGAGCAAGAACGAGACATCGGAGAGTCCATGTGCGAAGGCGGTACGCTCGTAGTGACCAGGATCGATAGGAGAACCCTTTGGAAGGGTGGTGATCATAAGGTAAGACATTTAAAAATCTTGAGTAGACTTGGCGTGTACATGTATTCGTACAAGAACGAGATTTTTCGAGTTTCGGTTCGAAATTTGACGTAACGGGTACCCGACTCTTTTCAGCTGGCGGTTCCAAAACCGGTTCCTTACCCCAACCGTTTCACCCCTACTACGTATCCTCACCCTTCCAGTGGTGTGACAAGACCTGCGTCGTCCGGTCCCTCATCGTCATCTTCATCACTTGATTCCTCCTGAGAAGGACACCGACACAGAATGACCAGAACCATAAACGTTATACTTAGCACTTCGAAGCACATCTACTGGATGTACACACAATGCATACTCTAGCTCATAACATGGCTAGGGTACTTTGTGTCACAATATACATGCTTTATCTTAGTAACTATCTATGATCATGGCTACAAGTCAAAATGGGCTATATCGCTGGTCAACATGCTATTAGCCATCCTCTGTGTCTTTTTGTTGTTGTTTTTTTCTAGTCACTTTTTGGCGTTGCAGAGTGTTTCTTCTCTCCCTCTCTCAACAGTAGCAAGACACAACACAGAAAAATCAAACACAAATAGAAAGCAGAGTGTTTCGCTAGGCTGGACAACGCTTGCAAGCACTCACCTCTGAAGACGATTCTACCTCTGATTCGGACTCCAGCTCTCCCCACGTACTCATGTCTATGTTCTCATCGCCACCGTATTGCTAATGTAGAAGCAAATAAACACACACACACACACACACACACACACACACACACACACACACACACACACACACACACACACACATGTACACAAACATGTACAAAAACAATATTTATATACATGTGGCACACTCATTATAACACATCCTCACCGTGCTAGAATCTCATCAGCAACATGGAGGTAGTATGTACAACACCTGGACACATACTGCACACTAGATCAAATCCCCATGACGATTAAAACGTACCATGGGACACCATGGGCTAAATTATAAAGCGCTATTCTAGAGGACTTCGCAGAATGCTACACTTCGAAGAACCTGTCATTTGACCGCGGACATGCAGCACATCAGCTAAAAAGTACAGATTCCCACGGCCCTTGAAGGTAGAGTATACACAAAGGCTAGCTGCCCCCATGCCCTGTAGATCCAAGTGGTAGATGAGGATCTCACAAGGGAGTCAAAGGAGAGTGGGTGCGCCCTTCAGCCAAGTGAGCACAGAAAGCATCCTGCCAAATGGCATGGCTGGACACTCCGCACAGCAAGTACTGCCGTATTCCCGATGCCGAAAGGCGGGCTCACCACCCCGGTATGGCAACTTCCCCGTGTCTAAGTTACCCCAAGGCGAAGTCAATACTGTAGTAGTCATAGTGGCTGAAGTTTTAAAACAAATCTTCACAAACGGACGGTCCTAACACTTAAAATCCTGCCAAATGGCGTCATCACCATTCCGAACAATCTTACCAATATTGATGATGCCGCTGTTCCAAACACATCGCCATATAGAGGCTTGCCATCCTCATCTACTGGAGGTTTACCCCAACCACCAGCATGATAGCCAAACGAACAGCTCTACAGAAAAAGAGATCAAGAGTAGGAACAGCAGCAGCAGAAGCGGTGGCAGCAGCGGCAACACCAGCAGTGATGAGCTAACCTCACTCAGACTACTCGAAGCATCATTCAGTATCAATACCAAACACATACAATACCAGTATGTGCATGGACCACCAAGCATTAGGCTGTTCACTATCAGCACAGCATTGCGTGCATACAAGAGCACACAACCATGACACTCTACACTTCAGTGCAGACTGCAATCCATTTCTTGCAGAGTACAGTGGTGCACTGCCAATACCTCAGGAATAGGAGCATTCAGGCCGGGTATCTTCAAGTTTGGGTAGGTAGGCGGTGGGCCATAGCGCTGCATGGCAATCAACCAAGGCGGTGGCACCATTTGTTTACCCTGTAGGCCAGACAACATCAGAGAACAAACACAACCAGTGAGGACAATTCATAGCTGCACCTCTGCACAATACTGTACACAACTGTTTGCTTTCAAAGGTGCAACAGGGTAGGGTCATTGGTGTTCTGCTTGTTCTACATGACTCATGGCAATGCAGTCCCCACATGCAGCAACTATCCGTAATAGGTACAGTACCAGTAGATAGAATCTACAGTGCTCATTGTGCAGAGGTGGAGGGCCCTCACACAGAAGGCAGACCAGGATTGCCCTAACTCTGGACAAACACAAAACTCAGAGCACACTGTTCCGTTTTCATTGGGTGCACAGTTGTGTGTGTGTGTGTGTGTGTGTGTGTATTCCGTACATAGATATACATTGTGCTTGGTTGGGGAGGTGGGGAAGGCATTGTAAGCTGACACAATTCTCACTTACAGCACCAACTGGCATTCCAAGAGCTGTCCTCATGTCGTCAGAAATATCACCAGGTTTAAGATCCTTCATTTTAGTCTCAAATTCCTTGCCCTAGTAAAGCAAGTCAAAAAGGAGATGAGAGAGAGAGAGAGAGAGAGGGGGGAGAGGGAGGAGAGAGAGAGAGAGAGAGAGAGAGAGAGAGAGAGAGAGAGAGGAGAGAGTGAGAAAGAGAGATGGAGATTTAAGATATACAGAAGACGTCACTGCACATTTTCCAAAAGCCATAACTTTCTAAGGTGCACAACAAAACAATGAGTTACCGCCATTTGGCCCAATACAGGATAGACAAAAACTACTGGGAAATTCTTACCAGCCAAAAGGCAAGGAGGCGGGTGTTGACGTCTGCAAGCGTTGTACAGTCTCACCGAGTCTAAACAAGCACCTTACTATGCCGACTGGACGATCCAAAAAAGGAATGGCATGCATCGAAAATGGAGGAGAGTTTGGGGGGGGGGGGGAGGAGGAGGAGGAGGAGGAGAGAGGGAGAGAAAGATTGCTTACCTCATAGTAAAGATCCCCATGCATTGTGAGCCTCGGCTTCTTCTGCCACCTGAGCAAAGAGAAACAAAAAAGCATTGAAACTATCTATAAACACTGGGTTCTGTGCTGCAGCTGGAAGTGAGAGAGACAGAGAATGAACCACAACAACAACAACAAATCTGCAATATCAAAAAGCAAAAGAAGCAAGCTACATATTCACTGCGGACATACCTAAAGAAAGCGTCGTGCAGCTTCTGGTAATCAATGTCAATCTTTCCCAGCTTTGGTCGGACTCGCTGTCTTGTTTTCGCCTTCAAACTCTTTTGATCATCCTGCAGCAGATGACAAGTGCACGTGGTAGAAACACACAGAGGAGAGCAGATCACCAAAGAGCAATCAGTCATCACAAGCAGCACAGCCGATTCAACACCCAGCCTTTTTCTGAGCTCAAATCCACTATCTTAGGCTGCGTTTACACGACAACGCTGGGGGCGAAAACGCAACGAAATCCTTTCGGATCCATGGTTCATTTACACGGTACGCGGAGCAAAACGTAAAAGTTGTACACCAAAACGGAAGAAAACCAAAACGCTGGCCAAGGTGGAAGAATTTGAAAACGGAAATGTTCTGCCGGATAAATTTGGGTGTGTAAACAGTCGAAACGGTGTGCTGGCCTCGTTTTCCGTCACGTTTGTTTCGTTTTCGGCCGTTTACACGGATCCGACAATCCAAAAAATTGTTTTTACAATTTTCGTCATGTGACGTGTGTTGTCGTGTGCCTGTTTTCAACCATTACTTGAGTGTGATTGGTGCTTCCACGGCAACACTTGGCACATGACGAACTTTGGCGGATCCTTTGCTCTCGTGTAGACGCTTGAAAACGGTACAAACGGAGACCACCTCGGATCGGCTTTGATCGTGTAAACGTACGAAAACGAAAAAAGAGATGCGGGACTGAAAACGGAAAACTGGCCGTGCGTTGTCGTGTAAACGCAGCCTTAGGCTTGATACCACCTACAAACAGTGCTACTACATGTACATACACATAGTTGTACTTGCCCTGGGATCTAAACTCGATGGACAAATCATCCGAGCAAACTATCCAACACCTGCAACATCACCAGAGAAGCTGAAACTCAATAAAATCTTGCTTGATTCTTCCACTACCCGTCGGTGGTCCACAGAGACACACTTTACCGCTCAGAGCAGACTCTGCCAGCATGCTTTCGACCATTCCAAAGTCAGCACATCCAGCTAAGCATAACTTTCGCTAACCCGCCATGCCTATTTTAGCCATGTCACTACAGAACAAGAAAGTCCTACCTTTTCCTGAACGGCAGCTCTCATTTCCATGATGCCAGTGTTCTGCACAGGAGTGACAACACAAAACACAAACAAACACATGCACACAGCAAGTTCCAGTGTAAGGACTGATAGCCTAGAATGTCTAAACAATCCGACAAGCCAACAGACTGAACGGACACAAGTACTGGACACAACGTTATCGAACAGAGCAATGACTAGTGCTTACTTAGTCAACCAAGAGATTGCTCATGCCAATAGAAACTACTGGCTCAAAAACAGTGTTGCAATAGAGAAGAGATACAGCCGTGAGTAAAGCAAGAAAGAAAAGTACTCCACAATGGGAAGCAAAGCGACAGAACGTTCCGCCTAGACAACACCGCACGACAAGCAAATTAAACTACACACCTTAATGAAATCTGGCAGGTCGAAAGGAGGCTTCTCGATACCTCGTTTACCCTGGAGATACTTTCTCTTGAAGCACCAATGCCTCGGCACAGGAACAGTGTTTCGATAACCTTTGAGATGAACAAGCAGCTGAGGTTCCCTTGAAGTGACATCATGCATTTCCACCACATCGGGCCGCTCTACAAGCTGTGTGTACACACGCACGCACACAGATGCACACGAGCACACCCACGAGCATACACACACGAGCACACCCACGAGCACACACACACACACACACACACACACACACACACACACACACACACACACAAGCACACGAGCACACACACACACACAGAGAAGGAAAACAAAGCCATCAGTGTACCGCTGATCAGAAGGAAGAGGTGCAGAGAATCCAAGAATCACATTCAACAAAAGAGTCTGCTTCAGGCAATGCCCTGCGCTCAGTGTATCGAACACAATTTCAGCACCTGTACCTTCTCCTTTGTTCTACGCTAGTGTAATCATGTACGTGTACCCTAGCCACATACATGTGCCCTACAACAGACACACTGGACACATGCATTGCTAGTAATTTGCTACGTACATACTTCGAAGTACCCATACCTGTTTCAGTTGGGCTACCGAAAGGCGAGACTGCTTGCGGAGCTGCTTCTTGGACAGTTTCGGCTTACCGTCGTCATCTTCATCCCGAGCCTGGCAACAAGAAGAAAGAGAAACGGGAACAATGAAGAGATCCTCTAGAAACTGTATACCTCACGAAAATAACTATCCTATCTGAATCAGCCAAAGCATAAACATGTCCGCCATGCAACCGTGCTCAGAGAGAATATCCAGGTACTACACAGGTGTACACTGTATTTTTATTAGCAAGTTTGGACATGCAGTTTGCCGTCTGGCAAGAGTACATGTCGAGGTGGCGCGAAGAGTTAAGTCACGGTGAACAAACCTCATCTTCGTCTTCCTCATCCATTTCTGGTGGTGGCGGAATAGCAGCACCAGATTTAGAGCCTGCTTGCTGTACACAAACATACAAACAATGCAAATAAGCATGTGATCATACTGGTTAATCCATCAAGAGAAAGATCATCTACAAGCATACTACGACCAGCTTGTGTCAGTATGGAAGCTGCTCCTAGATGTCAGTCCACTTGTCTGCTGTGATTTTCGGAACGACAATCAAAGAACAATGTGTATGAACAGCACAGCACAGCACAGCACAGCACACCCCCCCCAACCCACACACACGCATACACCCCCTCACCCCTACACACATACACAGACATGGGCACACAGTACAGAAGCAAAACTGGCCTACCATACCGTATTTCCGCGCATATAAAGCCATGGCGTTATATCTGAATATAAGGCCACCCTCACTTATAAAGCCATGGCGTTATAAGTGAACAAAATTCAATGTGGAGAAAGTTGCATCCGGCGTTAAAGGGGAAGTATACCCTAAAATCAAATTTTCACCAGTTGTAGTCTTCGGGGTGCTGAGTCGAATGGTCTTGGTCCGAGGAAGCTGAGACGCTCCCTTCCTACTTGAATCCCAATCGAACTCGCGCACTTCCACCGAAACTGGGTGACTGCGCCCTACTAGATGGGGATTTGTATGCAAAATGTCACTAAAAGCGCCATTTCGTTCTTATTAAAGCACGGATGACCGCGATTGGCCCATATGTTGTAGTCTTTTGGACGCTGAGTCGACTGGTTTTGGTCCGAAAAGGCTGCGATGCAGCGTTCCTCCTTTATTCCCAATCGAACATGGTTGAACAAGCGGTCACGTGCTCCTGCGTACACCAGTCACCTGGTCACCGTGCCTGCAGGGTACAACTTACTAGCCTGTTTGACCTTTTTTGGGTGCAGTCCTGTCACTCGAGTTGAACTCGAGTTGAACCTTGGTGTGAAAGTTGTCGCCTGCTGGCGCGGTGACCAGGTGATTTGGGCACCCAGGAGCACGTGACCGCTTGTTCAACCATGTTCGATTGGGAATAAAGGAGGAACGCTGCATCGCAGCCTTTTCGGACCAAAACCAGTCGACTCAGCGTCCAAAAGACTACAACATATGGGTCAATCGCGGTCATCCGTGCTTTTATAAGAACGAAATGGCGCTTTTAGTGACATTTTGCATACAAATCCCCATCTCGTGGGGCGCAGTCACCCAGTTTCGGTGGAAGTGCGCGAGTTCGATTGGGATTCAAGTAGGAAGGGAGCGTCGCAGCTTCCTCGGACCAAGACCATTCGACTCAGCACCCAGAAGACTACAACTGGTGAAAATTTGATTTTAGGGTATACTTCCCCTTTAAAGGTGAATTCAATTCTTTCAGTGAACCTACAGTAGCGGTGATTCTCTCTACATGTACCCATCCCCACTGTCACATGCCATACCGCCACCGCACCTTCACACAAGTTTTTATGCCACCTTGTACACAATAGGTTCACAATTTGAAATTTTCAGGGAAAATTGAAAGTACATGGATGCTCGACATGAACGTGCAACGGCACCGTACGAGTACTCGAAGTTCATACTCTGCCGATTTTTTTGCATGTAAGCGTCTCTCACTTTTAGCGCCATGGCGTTAAAACCGAGGCTATTTTCTCCAAAAATTTGGTCCAAAACGGCGATGTTTCACCTATAACGCCATGGCTTTATATGCGCGGAAATACGGTACATAGCACACAATGGCCGTAGCAATACAATGTGGCAAAAGCAACAATCATGGGCAAATGGGCAATGTGAGTTCTCACCAGCTTCTCTTCAGCTTTCTCCTCCTCTTCCTTCACTTCTTCGACTAGCTGCACAAGCCATCCACAACAACGACGATGATGACGATGACAGCAACACCACGAACAAGAACAAGAACAGCAGCAACAACACGAAAAAACGTGAAAATTCGTTCATGAAAAGTTCGAAAACTGCACTGTTGCTCCAAGCCGCAGAAACAGGAACACTTGATTGGATCTATCCCCCCCCCGGTATTTTAGGCAATCGACTCCGTTCGAAATGCATAAAATAGTGACTTGCATGGCCGCAAAGTTGGCCACAAGGCAAAATACTTGCCTATAGTAACACCTTTCAAAGCCCATGCAGGAACACAATGTACAATGTACAGTAGTTAGACATCAATCAAGCGAACAGCAACACTAACTTACAGCAACACTGTCAGACATCAATCAAGCAAACAGCAACACTGTCAGACATCAATCAAATGAACAACTACACTAACTTACAGCAACACTGTTCAAGAGCACTTGCAACAAACGCAAGCACTCATTACGACAAGGTTGTGCAAGCAAGGTGACAAGCAGAACCTACCTTGAAAGCATCAAATATTCTGGAGAACTCTTGGTAGTGTTTGTCACCCGGTGTCAGCTCTGGCATTTCAGCGACATACCTGGGTTCAGTGCAATGGAGAAAGGGATAATAGTTACTGGCAGTATAGCAGCGGTACTGAAAAGGAAAAAAAGAAGCGCGCCGGCTAACAGCACCTTATTGATACAGCAGGGTATGCAGGTATGTTTTCATTGCTATCAGGTTCGGCCTCATTTCCTCTGTGCTGCGCTGATGAATCCACAAAGGACGAAACAGTTCTGTCTGCAGATTGAGGATAGCATGCGCGGGCAAGCGCATCTTGCTTCCAAATCAAATCCCAAGCACACAATATACACCCAGTGCTGCCAAACCGTCCGATTTTTCGGACAGTGTCCGATTTTTGAAGGCTCTTCTGAAAACCGGTCCGAAAAGGGAAACGTCCGAAAAGCAGCCAAAATGTCGGAGATCATTACTTTCCTATGCAGTCCTGTACTTTCACTTTTCAGCGCAACTGAAGGCACAAATCACTGTACATTTGCTTCTAAAAAGACTAGCGCTTGGCTGTGGAAGTGCAAAGTAACATGCCTGGATCTGGCTGGATGGCATGTACGCTGACAGTCTGTACAGAGTCAGTGTGCGACCACACTCATCATTACAAAACAATTCATGACAACTCCGGGTTACCATGGCAACGAAGCGAATTTTCATGGTGTTTTAGGCGATATTTTGAATTCTGTTAAAAAATTGCCGAGGAGAAAAATTCGCACCATGTGGCCAGCCTTGGCGGTGAAGGGTGTCCGATTTTGGGCGAAAATTATTTGGCAGCACTGTACACCATAGGTCATAGCTGCACCAAGAATATTGAAACCAGCAAAAATGAGACTCGGGAAGGCAGGGTCTGTCTGGGTGGATTTGTACAAGGAAGGATAAACAGCAAAGGACTTGAACTTGAGGGAACTTACTCAATATCAACATTGTCCTCTGCCGTATTGCTAGAATCCATATCTGCTGATTTAGAGTTCTGCATTAGAACAACAGATTACAAGCACCATTGCATTTAAAAAGGAATTAGAACTTTGACTGTGTTGAGAAAGCCTAGAATAATTTTCATCCACAACATCAAAACTACTATTAAACTACCAGTTCTGGCAACTGGTTCAGCAAGTACCAGTTCTGGCAACTGCTCGGAAAGTTTCATAACGAGAAACCTTCACCCCATACGCACCTAACGCTAAACTGACAAACAGGTCTTCCCACACATATGCATGCATACTCACGTGCACACACACACACACACACACACACACACACACACACATACATACACACACACTTGTACTTGTACTTCTTGTACTTGCTCACTGCCAAAACTGGTCACGTGGGTCTCCCCGGGAGAGGGGAGAGAGACTCAAAAGGAATCTTGGAAAGATGACTCAATTGGCCATTGAACCACCCAACGGCCGACACCCCCTGAAATCCCCAAACTAGGGTGGACTTGAAATGATCCCACTTATGGGCTCACCACACCTCAGTAAGTGGGTGAGGACAAGGTGCAGAAAAAGGATTGACGGCATCAGGGTATCCGTCCCGGGATCCAACACACACACACACACACACACGCACCATGTATGCCCGTCGCAAGAGAAGCACGCAAATCTGCCAGAGCTATCGCAGAGCACCCGCTGATTTCCCTTACAGCAACGGCAGCAAAGAGACTTGCACCAGGGAACTGCCCAATACACAAAAACTGGAAAGGTCATGTTGTTTACACTACTGCTTATAGGGTGCAGAGAATGGGATTTTCGGTCTTTGACCACTTGGTGGCGTGTCTGATCTACTCGCCTCCCACCGCTTTAGGAGCTGCATCTGTGCCTTGATCCTTGAGGGTGGTGGCGTTCCTACGGATGCCGAAATCTCGGTCTCTAGCTGAGTCTCACGCGAACCGTGATTTTTTTACAGGGGCTCACACTACTGGCAGACAATGGTGTGAATGCGATCAATGCACGACTGAGAACAGAGAGCCAGTTGTGCTAAATACATGTTCAGATGCATCACAAGAGACCTACACACTCGCAATCACAATGCCCGTGGCGCTTGCCAGACAAGAAACACACCATATGTACAGTACCTGCTGGTTGGCGAAGTTAGGGTGCTTTCTCCGACGCTTCTTTTTCTTCTTCTTTTTCCCATCTTGAACATCTTGAGAAGGAGAGCCCTGCATGAATTACCCACGCGAATGAACAGCAACCAAGATGACAGTCAGGCTGATTTTCTGAAGGGACTAACGGATTACAAAGTACTACACCTCTGCTTTGCTGTATCCCCTAGTTGCATGCCGCGGGGCAATCATCAGACACACTGCCAACAGTGCTAATGCCAAGCATAACCAGGGTCGGATTGAAGGACAAATGGAATGACTCTCAGCCGGAGCATGTGTGTGACTTGGCGTGGTAATACGTGAACAATTCCTGAAGGGGTTGATGAAACTGATGTGATCCTTTAGACCCGGGCTCACCGCTCACAGTTCTCTGAGACCTCACGTATTTCACTGCGAATAGAATTCTGAATGAAGACTATCACATTGCATAGAACATGTACTCCCATTGAACCAGTCAGAATGGCATACATGTACACGTATATGAACAAATAAGGCAGGGATCTGATTATACACTGACCTGTGAATGCTGTGCCTCCTGCACATGCTGTTGCTCGCGTTCTTGCTGCTGCTTGCGTTCTTGCTGCTGCTTGCGCTCTTTCTGCTGTTGCAACTCCTGCAGCTTGTGTTGCTGCTGCAGCTCCTCCTGTTGCTGTAGTGTTTGCTGCCTCTGCAGCTCCTCTTGTCGCTCAAGCTCTTTTTGACGCAGCTCTTGCTGCTCTAACTCTTGCTGTCGCTCAAGCTCTCGTTGCCGCTCTTGCTCTCGCTGCTGCTCAAGCTCCTGTTGCCGTTGAAGCTCTTGTTGTTGCTCAAGCTCTTGCTGTCGCTCAAGTTCTCGTTGTCGCTCAAGCTCTTGCTGTCGCTCAAGCTCTTGCTGTCGCTCAAGCTCTTGCTGTTGCTGAAGCTCTTGCTGTCGCTGGAGCTCTTGCCGTCGCTCAAGCTCTTGCTGTCGCTGGAGCTCTTGCTGCCGCTCACGCTCTTGCTGTCGCTCACGCTCTTGCTGTCGCTCACGCTCTTGCTGTCGCTCAAGCTCTTGCTGTCGCTCAAGCTCTTGCTGCCGTTGTATCTCCTGCTGCCTTTGCACGTCTTGCTGCCGTTGCAACTCCTGAAGCTCTTGTTGTCGTTGCAGCTCCTGTTGTCTTTGTAGCTCTTGTTGTCTCTCAAGCTCTTGTTGTTGCTCCACTTCTTTTTGCTTTCGTATCTCTTCCTGTCTCTGCAGTTCCTGTTGTCTCTGTAATTCCTGCTGTCTTTGCAGTTCCTGTTGCCTCTGCAATTCTTGCTGTTGTTGCAACTCTTGCTGCTGTCTCTGCAGTTCCTGCTGCCTCTGCAGTTCTTGCTGTTGTTGCAACTCTTGCTGTTGTTTCAACTCTTGCTGCTGTCTTTGCAGTTCCCGTTGCCTCTGTAGTTCTTGCTGTTGTTGCAACTCTTGCTGCTGTCTCTGCAGTTCCTGTTGCCTCTGCAGTTCTTGCTGTTGTTGCAACTCTTGCTGCTGTCTCTGCAGTTCCTGTTGCCTCTGCAGGTCTTGCTGTTGTTGCAACTCTTGCTGCTGTCTCTGCAGTTCTTGCTGTTGTTGCAACTCTTGCTGCTGTCTCTGCAGTTCCTGTTGCCTCTGTAGTTCTTGCTGTTGTTGCAACTCTTGCTGCTGTCTCTGCAGTTCCTGTTGTCTCAGTAACTCCTGTTGCCTCTGCATTTCTTGCTGTTGTTGCAGCAGCAGCTGCTGTTGTTGCAGTTGTTGTTGTTGTAGCTCTTGCTGTCTTTGTAAGTCTAGCTGCTGATGTTGCTGCTCCACTCCTTCAGGTACTGAGCTCTGTTTACACACAAAATTAAACCACAAAAAAGAAATTCTCAATCAAGTCGGAACACCACTGCCCAACTGGCCACTACACTTTGCTGCTGTTAGCCACAGAATGTGTTTGTTAACACAAGCTCAATGTCTGAACTTGCTACTGCACTTGATCTAGTACAATAATAATGGGGAGCAGTGACTAAAAAAAACAGTCCGTGCTAATCCAGTACCTTCCAAATACAAACAGTAACTTAGTGATGAATCGTATCCGAGTTTGACAGTAATTCGCTTCCGATATGTCATCACCTGGCTTCTTTTAGAATACGTGTACAGCATGTATACTTCTCAAAGAAAGTTTAAGACGCCTTTTGTTGTTCAATTTCTTTCTACAAAACTATGTACATGAGTCACATGACTGTACTACAAGTATGTTATGACTATCATGCACACTGTATGGGCTCGTAGTAATGGGTACACTGCAGTGCTTACCGGGTGAGCATGACCTTCCTGTGCCTGCTGAAGAGGCCCCTGGCGTTCCTTGACAATCGCCTGCAAGACCGATTACAATGCAACATGAAAAATAACTACCTAGTCTCAATACTCAAATATTCTCTTTGCAGCGCAAACAAATCTGTTCTCCTCCACGCGTGCACATGTGACGAAGAAAAGATTTTTGTTTCGCAGCAAAGGAACATAATACTGTATAAGCAGAAATATTCGTCTGGAATTTAATTTCGTCTTTTTCGTCCAAGGATCTTTTGGACTAAATTAAATGCCGGACGAATGTCGATTTGTCCAGCTTTTCAATACACTGTTATGATCCATGGACGAAATTTACAGCCGGACGAAATTTACAGCCGGACGAAATTTACAGCCGGACGAAATTTACAGCCGGACGAACTCCCTTTCTTTGGAGTTGGACGAAATTATTGACCGACGAAATTTTCTACCTGTACAGTAGTACGAGTGTTGAGAGTGAGTAATGGGTGGGTGAATGCCAAGGGAAATGAATAACTGAAGGAAAATACATTAGTTTGAGGGGAAGGAATTTGTGGCGACTTCCGGAAACGTGCTCAATGTCCAATTGGAAATTGTCGTGACTCGCGACCTAAGTTTCATGCCAGCAATCGTCAGATAAAAGTTATAAAAACCTGGGGAACAACCATTATCTTACTACCTATGTGTGAGGAATAGGGTGGTGAAGATTCGAACAGGTGCCAACCACCCAACGTCATATATCAAGGTGCGGTCGCACAGTCTTCGCAGGTGTGAGAAATGTTTAGCACTGACGCCAGCAATGCCAGTCCTGAACTCCTGACTATGCAGGAAAGCTCGTGGTGCAGCCATGAGACTTGAACCAGGCCAGGGACTTTCGCTACTAACACCAAAAAAAGAAAAGAAAAAGAAGAAAATACTTACAACAGAAAAGTGCTAAAAAAATGTATAAATACTGTCTCTTGGTGATTGCCTTGGCATGCAGCTCAAGTAGTGACATGACAGTGCGAAGTCATTCTATTTTCCACTTGATCTCTGGGAATGTAAGTGTGAACAAAAGCAATTGCGCGCATTACTGTGAACGCATAAGCTAGCGTGGTAAGTTGAATGGCTACAAGAGTGCTTTCTTGTGATGATTATCAGAACAGCAATTCAAAATGAAATTCGTACAGTTTAGTTTCCGTGTTTACTCCATGCAATTTTATCATCTCATTATTTACAGCTTACCCTTCACACCACTCTCACCGTGGTGCTTATTTTCACTGGGGTTTTTATTTTCTATTTTAAATTTTTAATACTAGTACATGTAGTAGTTTTCATTGTGATATTCCAACTGATGATCCAGCTGATGGTCGTCACAAGAAAACGCTCTTGGAACCAATCAACTCGCCTCGCTATGTTGTGAATTCACAGTAATGACTGCTATAATACAGCCATCGTCTCCTCGTGGACTATTTGTGTAAAATTATAGAGAATTACTTTTCGGAGGTCGGAAATATTCGAAATCACTCACATCATAGAGGCGGTCGGCGAGAACTGCCTTGACTCCTTTCTGAGGAAGATGTCGAGTCGATAACTCGATCTTGAGCTCAGTCACCTTGAGGCTGGAGAGCGGACGCCCATCGTCCAAGATCAGTGCGTCCGCCATCGCTCACAAAAAAAACAACACGAAAGACGTTCATTATTTTCGCCTGCGAGATTTTTGTTGAGCGAACGTTCGAATGATGTCGTTGTCGAGGTATATTATGGCACCGCAGGCCGCGCACCTGAGGGCCTTTCTGGAAGCCTTACTCGATCGGATAGAGCGAAACTGAGCACCCTGGGATGCGAGCAGTTTTTAGTACTCCCGGGTCCGAAATCTCACCACCAGGCCGGGCTGATCAAAACGTCTGCCGGGTCTGCAGCCTACAAACGTGGATCTGCCGACACTGTGCTGTCGACGACATGTCCGGCAAGGCACCTTGCGTGAAAGCAAGGAACGCTTTTTTTTAGAAAGGAAGCTTCTTCTCCAAAATTTAAAATATTTTGAAAATTATTCCTTCTGAAAAATCATCGCGTTCTTGACCTCGAAGCTGACTGCTGAATGTGATTAGGAAAGAAGATTCCTGAAGATGCACCAGACTGATTCTGGCAAGCCGTCTGTCGTCTGGATATGCACTGTTGTTCGTCATGGTCAGCAATCTTCTACGTTCGTCCTTTCGTTTTCCTGACCGCGATGATGACAAGCAGCTCTCATGCTCAGGTTAGTGCTACTTGTATGTCTGGGCACACAACACATCTGAGATGCACCCACTGACGTTATCGTACTGAAGAATGCAGCAAGGGTTCCTCGGATTCTCTTGATTTCGGAACAAATTTCCTTCACTTTCACCCTCTCCGTCTCTTCCCCATGCCCTCCATGCATGCACAATCGAGTTTGCATTTCAAATGTTGTTTTTACTTTGGCAGTGCGTTCGATAACGTTAGGACAGTCTAAGTTAGGTGTTCTTTTCTTCAGGCTTATTGGGCCTGTAAAAATTCTAAAAAATAGCTTCCAAATGCTAAACGCAGGTCCCTATGAATACGGTTCTGCTGGGCAATGATGTTTGCACCAATCTACACTCTATGCAGCTGTCACAGCAGCCACAACTGATCCTCCCTCTCTCTCTGATCACTATTTGATAAAGCCAATCTTTAAATCGCTGTTGCACAGGATCTCGGGTGGGAAGAAGCGATGAATCGATACATGGCAGTGTGAATAAAAGAAGAGCAAATTCACAGTGCACGTGAGACTCGGTTAGAAAGACTGAGTTTCTGCATTCGTAAGAACGTCACACCCCAGGGATCATGATAAAGAAAATATAGGTCGTGAAAATGACTGAAAGAACCAAAAAAGTATCTGATCTTCCAGCCAGCTTAGCCTGGCACTACCATACTAGCAGTGCTACCAAGTACCAGCCCTCCATATTTTTCTGTATTTGTACGGAAAATCACTCCTTGTCCGCACTACAGAATTTGAGCAAATGGTATAGAAAATCGAAGAGGATCAATCAGCTGTGTAGAAGCATTGCAAGTGTAAGCTGAGCGATGAATAGTCTTGTACCAAAGCGAGTGCATGCCGTACCACGACAACATGTACATGTAGCACAAAAAAATAATGTCGTTAGTGCAAGTCACACATGTTTTACACTACCAAATGCAGCCACCGACATGCATGTGCGTGTCAAAAAACTTTGTAGTGCAAGTTGCATGCAATGTACACGGCAGTACGCAACACACTGCAAGATACGGAAAATCAGAAGTCTGAGTACGCAAAACAGACTCAATTGGTGGGCAGCTCTGTACTGGCCTGTACGGAGGGAGTGAATCGCAATGTGTGCAATGCATGCACTTCGGCCGACAGTGAAAACTATGCAAGTCGTGTAGGTTTGTAGGATGAATGTGAGTCCTCTAAAACAAGCGCCTGAGCGGAGTAGCCCACCGAAAGAAGAGTACTTGACACCGCGAAGTGGAGTCTGCGCATACAACAGTGAGGGGTAAAATTAGCTATGACTGATTCTGCATGTGTGTCACATTACTCTAGCAGATAGGCACACGTGTTGTTCCAAAAAGATGCTTATGTCAGTGTCTGAATATGTCATGTACCAGGTAATATTGTTGCCAGGATCTCACGGTGAGAGTCAGACTTGGATATGGTATCAATTAGGGGTGAAACGATTACACTTTTCTGAATTTCAACTATCGGTTAACCTACCCTTGCATCGATGATATCAATTACTGTGTCCTAGAAATTGTCGCGCCAGACCAGCACAAAGCATGCCGTGTTGACATATACACATATACATGTACATACACACATGCAGATAAACCGGGTACTCTACACAATGCAGTGGCACATCACGTGCAGGTGCAGACAGTCAGTTTTTTATTTTTTTATTTTTTTCACAGCCCTACTGGAAAACATATGGCCAACAAAAAGAAATGAGGAAAAGGACAAAGTACAGTATCTAGTAGTGCTGTACATGTCATCTTTTTGATTCTTGCAGACGTTTCTTTTTTTTAGAATCGCGTAATCGAAATCGTTTCCTTGTAATGATCGATTAGACGGATAACCGATATTATCGTTTCAGCCCTAGTATCAATAGATTATCAATATCATACATCACCACCCAAAGTATAATAGCCGAAGGGCTCGTTTGTGTGGTGATGTATGATTTCGTGAGCAAGATGAAGTGGCTACAGATGTGTTTTATATAACACCCTAAGAAGAGATCATCAATACTGGGGAAAGTGATTCTGGTAGCATGTTGTATCCAGTGTGGCATGACAGAGACTCCATCGATTTAGGCTAAGGCCTGTGGAGAATCCATAAATACAATACATACAAGCATCGCAACCTTCGGATTATGCACTTTTGCTTGCCTCCTGGAGTGTGGTTGTACCTTGGTTCAGTAGACTTTGTTTTTCGAATTCGTTTCTATAACATTAGGTTTCTTTGTGTTGCTGCTATGTCTTTTCATGTGTTTTACAGGATTGCCATCTGTTGATGAATACCACTCTGAGGCACACTCACGAGCGAAGGTGTTTGAGAATCCATGTCGGAATGATGGTCGTGTTGGCCTAAAGGTGCATTACATTGCCGATACTCGCCACCTCCACCCTGGAACATGTTCAATTTCTGTTTCTCGTATGGAAGGACCGAACAGGTTGTTTTCCTGCCTCAGTGGACCACTCAAGACTAAACAGCACTGATGGAAGAAGATTTGCCGTGAATCTCGTTCACATAATCAGCCTGTTTAATTGCTGTACTGAGGTGACTGCTTCATAACAATGACCAAGCAGCATTAAATTTTGCATAGTACTGCAGTGCCCCTAAAATTGGAGAATATCGAAGTTCTCTGATAGCATTGTGATTCATTTGTGAATAAACATCACTACTCTTTTTGAGTAGCATAGCAATGACAGAGTTGGTTTGATGTATGACAAAAATGGAGCCGCTTTTTAAACCTGTACTATAATCAGTACCGCCGGAAGCAGTTTTTGATTGGTCCGGTAGTTTAATGGCCTTGTATACTTTGTGTGTGATATGGCGGGTACACACGTCCTCCACAGCAGGAAACATTTGTTGATGGCCAACAAGTTGGTCCGGTGATAACCTGACCAACCAGACCGGTTCCGGCGGGCCTGATAATTGTGGGGGTCATGCTCAAGTACTTAGCATGGTTTTGGACATGTCCTCAGTTGAAACCGACTTCCCCAAGCGTTCTCTGAGGGGACCTCGGTCTACTCTATCAGTTCATGTATTCTGTGAAGTGACATGACCATTCGTGGGGACCTTGCTCATAACTGCAAAAGTCCTCGTCTGATTTTTCCGAATCAATTGAACGTTGTACATGTGCATGTAGTGAAAGCCACATGCAAAATGCTGTTCCATGACACTAATCTGCCACCAAGCACTGGGTTCATTGGCTGAAAATATTCTTCGGCACAGTAAAGTCGTGCGCCCAAGAGCGTGGAAGCCTAGAACATCCAGCCTGAAATACTAAGAACACCACAGCCCAAAGTTAAGAATTGCGGTGCTGGGTTTGTGCTGTTGTAAAACACGGGGATTGTTATTGATTGTTATGTTGCACATGTATTTGAGCTTTACCACTACATACACGTCTGTCATACACAATACTCAATCTGAGGACAACATGCTGTTTCGCTCATCAATGCAGCACAGAGAAAATTAGGCAGATGAATGTCCTGCTAGAGAGCATCGAATACTGTAAGACATGTTATTATAACGAGTCGCAAATTTAACGATTGTCCAAAATTCATAGGTTAACGAGAAGATATGTTTAACATATATAAAGCAGTATGGCCTCAACGGATCTTATTATAACGAAGAAATGTCATCCGTTAGATTTACTTCCTCGTTATAATTATATACATGTCTAACAGTACAGGTATAGAATCATGTCTTGCAGATCTCGTTACGGCCCCTTCGATGCATGTTTGAACATTAGATGGCTGTGTAGCTTCAGTTATCTCGGAGTATGTTATCCAGCAGCAACAACGCTGGGCACCGATTAACTGACACACACCTATTCACTATAATGAGTATGCGTTGGAACACTTTACCCCGAGTCATACTATAGCAGTGAATGCCATGCATGGGCTTACCTCACACACTGAATTTCATAATTTGACATACAAATCACAGAAGAGTGGTATTCCAAACTTTACGTAATTGCACAGTAGAATACTTTAATAGAATGATAGTTATAGCAAGTTCTTAGAAACAAATCGTATAGGTTTGAGACTGTCAACCCAGAAATTTGTGATTTCACAGCCATAGATGTTACCAGTCACGTCACTGTATACAGTAGGTATGCAGAAGAAAATACTAGTAACTCTCTGTGGAAGAGCTGTGCCAAAATGTGTACAGTACAGTAAATTAATAAAAAGTGGGAAAAGCAGTGACAAGGCTGTGCATGATGTAGATCTACCAGTAAGTACAGTGCACCAGTGAAACTGTTGGTGTAGTACCGGTACACTAATATAATTATGGCATGGCCCATGCCACTACAATCTATTTGCAGTGCAACAGAAAGCAATTCAGTAGCTGAGTGCAATGTGAACATCTATGACATGCAAGTAAACTGCCATACAGCACAATCAATTACTCTCAGCCCACATAAGTACAATGTAGGCCAATCAGTAGTATAGATACATAGAGCACACTCTACATCATACATAGTTAGCACCAAATCTATATTGTCGATGTACTTTGCAATGACGAAATGATGGCAAGCATGCTTGATTCATCATAATACTGCCTTGAACTTGGTTGGAAGTTAGTTGGAAGTTCAGTGGTCGAGGTAAGCAGAGCTGCTCCAGCTTTCAGAATCCTGCATGAAAAAGGCAGAAAGCAAATGTAGGTATAATAGTAGCAAGCTGACGTAAAGAGCCTGTCTTTCAATACAATAATTCTATCCACTGCATGGACAGACTTGGTGCTTCATTTACCTCTGTTTCTTGCTTTAGAAAACCTACTTCCTCCTTCTGCCATGTAGCTCATGACATACATTTTCTTTACGCCTTTTCAGCCGTGGTCGACTTTCGCCCCTCCTGTTTGATTGCAATATTGACCCTCGATTGTGAATGAGAAAAGTGTCGTTATTGGTGTATTGTTGTTACTCGTGAGGTTGGAAGTATGCAATCAAATGGTCACTAGATCTGAAGATTGTATCGTTATTTGCGAGTTGTTTTGTAAACCCGAGGTACATTATTCACAAGGTGGATTGTACATGCTATGGGATGTAGAATAACTAACCAAACAAGAATGGTGTAACAATGATTTGAGTCCATATCCAATTGGATGAACCTAGAGCGCATGATCCATTACAGAAAGGCGACTTCAGTGAGTCTCGAATTGTCAGCAGCATCATACTTCCATGGAGCTTTTTTTTCTTTTTCGAAACGACCCTCTCTTTTCAATTCGAACGAAGGTCAACATATGATTACGGCAGGCATGCATGCACTGATCTTCACTGTATACATGTGCATGTATACTGTACTGTAGTCTGTTCAGTCAACTAGTCATGTTCCACTTGGCTTCCATAGGTGCAACTTGGCTTACGGTAAGTGTCACTACAAGTGCATAGTAGCCCCCCTCCGGGAGTGCGCGTGAACAGGAACTGTGAACTGGTAAAAGAATCATTCGACACCTTCGTTCGTTTCGATGGAGAAGGTTCATTTGGCAAATTGAGGCCTTCGTTTCACCCCTAGCCACAGGAGTGAAATTTTCACTCCTTGGCTGCCTGTTTGAGCCGTCCTTGTGGAAGGGTTGATTTATGCATGTCTGCATATAGACCTTATTCGATAAACGTCACAATCACGTGAACCGGGGTCCCGGGAACCAGGGAGCGGCAAGAGACCTGCACTCAGTGCACAGAGGACTTGGCGTGGGAACATAGGAGTAGAAAAATACCGGTAATTTACTACTCCCTTGTACGAACTGGGCCTTTCTTGCCACTTGTTTCACGTACGCGTGCCCCAGCTTACGACAAATCCCTGGAGGCGAGTCCAAAAATCATGTTATCGAATAAGGTCTATAGAATTGTTGATCTAGACGTTTGGGTTTAACAGAGCAAGCCTGTGATTACGAGCTGCACAGAACACAGATCACGTAAAACTACCCAATATGGGGTCAAAACTCACAAAGTTTTGGGTACTTTGGTCTCATGTCGTCTCCCCAGGTGCTCTGAATCCCTGATGCACATGCATCTACATATACAATGTAACCGTAACTCTACCAATGTTGCGGACGATGACCCCCCCCCCCCCCCGGCATACAGAAAGTTGCTATGTCCTGGCCCTCATACAGCATTGGGGAGGCACTGAATCACTTTTGCAAAAAGGACTAGCCGAAAGTGGCATTACATATTTTCTATTCCCAGAAAAGCGGCGTTCCAGCCGAGTTTATCTTTTAATTTAATGGTTTTCTCGGTTGGGATTTCATACCTGACAACCATCCCGATTTGGCCGGGATCGTCCCGACATCGAGGGCGGTAATAGGCACCCAAAAGTGCATTAGTTCCATGCCTCACCGCGAGCTACATTTGTATACATTTTCATGCCTAGGTATGTCATTCGATCTCAGGGTTGCAAAGGTTGGTAGGTATGGGATTTGTAGAGCGACCAGTTCTGACTATTGCCACCTGCTGCGCAGAAGTGTCATTCCTACATCCTGGCTGCAAACCTACCTCCCCCCCCCCCCCCCCCCCCCCCCCCCGGGGGCCACACACACACCACCAACAATGTTGGATCCTATTTACAGGACCTCACTCTATATGAAAGTGTAGCAGAGGCACTGCCAAAGTATAAAAACAACATTTCAAGTCATTTGAAATGCAAGCTCCATTAATGCATTGTGCATGCATGGAGGGCATGGGGAAGAGACGGAGAGGGTGAAAGTGAAGGAAATTTGTTCCGAAATCAAGAGAATCCGAGGAACCCTTGCTGCATTCTTCAGTACGATAACGTCAGTGGGTGCATCTCAGATGTGTTGTGTGCCCAGACATACAAGTAGCACTAACCTGAGCATGAGAGCTGCTTGTCATCATCGTGGTCAGGAAAACGAAAGGACGAACGTAGAAGATTGCTGACCATGACGAACAACAGTGCATATCCAGACGACAGACGGCTTGCCAGAATCAGTCTGGTGCATCTTCAGGAATCTTCTTTCCTAATCGCATTCAGCAGTCAGCTTCGAGGTCAAGAACGCGATGATTTTTCAGAAGGAATAATTTTCAAAATATTTTAAATTTTGGAGAAGAAGCTTCCTTTCTAAAAAAAAGCGTTCCTTGCTTTCACGCAAGGTGCCTTGCCGGACATGTCGTCGACAGCACAGTGTCGGCAGATCCACGTTTGTAGGCTGCAGACCCGAGGTATATTATGTATCAGATTGCAACGACCAGGAGGCTCTTAGTAGTGGCTGCAAATGACCGATATCCGTCACTTGCAGCTGTGCATCAGAGACCTGTAGCTGGCCTGAAGAGTTGTAAAATTACTCCTTCGTAGCCGGGAGAGTCAGAGCGAGGGCGATTCACGGCTTGGTCAAAAAACTGTCGGCCTGGAACGTAAACGTGGATCTGCCGACACAGTTCACCTGGTTCACACGCCTGACCTGGCATGCTGCCTTGCGTGAAAGGAACATTTTTCCGAAAGCAAGCTTCTTCTCCAAAATTCGAAATTTCTTTCCAAAAATGCCGTCGTCCTTGACCTCGAAGCTGAATGTTGTTAGGACAGAAAATTAGCGAAGATGTAGCCGACCCATTCTGGCAAGCCGTGTGCCCTCTGGATATGCAGTTGTTCGCCATGGTCAACAATCTTCTTCTCCTTCGTTCGTACTTTCACTTTCCTGACCACGAATATAAGCGGTACCCATGCTCAGGTTAGTGTTTATTTGTCTGTCTATGCACATACATGTAATACAATGTACTGTTCGTGCTGCAGGCACTGGCCGATCATGGAAATAGAGGAAGCAGCCAGCTTTCTTTGAATTCTCATCCTTTCAACAAAAATATGTACACACTTTCCTTGGCTCCTTTTTCCCACCGCCACCATGCATGCACTGCTTTTCAAATTTGTGTTTGCTTTGGCAGTGGTTTCATGGGTATCCTTCAGCCTTCCCTGGCATTCAAAATTCAGAATAGTTTCCACCCAGGTGCTAGTGCCTCTGTTCTGCTTAGCACATTGTAGTAAAATTATTTGCAACTGTCCACCACTGCACTCTTGGCTCACATTCACCACACCATAGCGAGGAAGTTTGTTCTTGGATAGATGTCTGGAGGATGTAGAGCATCTATCCAAGAACAAACTTCCTCGCTATGGTGTGGTAAATGTGGGCCAAGAGCGCATTGAGGAGAGGTGGACAGTTTCAAATTATTTAGCCACATCCGATCCTTTCTCCGATAATTATGGACATGTTTTATTATACCGGTATATTAAATGGCCACTCATGCTTCTATTGAGAGGTAACACCATTCAGGAAACTGAGGAAAGCCAACCGGTGTTGCACAGGATTTGAGGTTGGGAAGAAAAGATGTTCCGATAAAAGAACTGCGAGTACATGGGAAACGTATTATGGAAAGGGCAGTCTGAGTCGAACTAGGATCTCCTGTTCCAGAGCGTGAATATGAATACCGTAAAGTCGCGGATAAAAGCCGGGTTTGCATACAAGCACATCGCAGATAGAAGCCTGAAAATCAAACGGGTCGAATGCATATAAGCCCGTCGCGCGTAGAAGCCTTGCTCTATGCAAGCGCGGATCAGGTGGGTCAAGAGTGCATGCGCTATGTATGGTGCATAGTAAAACTGCCGCCATACCGGTAGTCAGTGGTAGATCTACGCGTGTCGCACGTAGAAGTCTGGCATACAAGTCTGGCAAAAATATCAGTGGTGCATAATAAGCATGGTTTACATTAAAACCTGATGGAGAAAGCGGCTTATGTGCGTATATTATAAGCCCGGCTTTTATCCGCGACTTTACGGTACAGTAGAATGCCGATATTCCGAACAATCACTTATTCGAAATGCCAGTTTTCAGATTGAGGAGCTAGAGTGTGTCTAGTTCCTGTGAAGAGAATGTGAGAACTGATGGAAACATGAAGGAATATGCAAGTCTTAGATGGATGTGTGACTGCTCCGTTATCCGAATTTTTCCCCATCCGAACCCCCTGGAGAAAGCGTGCGCCCGAGGGGTGCGGACAATCTACACTCTGCTGTAACAGTTATGTACAATGCGTGCCGATGCACATTGGACAACGTTGCAAATGTAGAATTGTAGGTGGACTGTGGTTCACATTAGACGATCGGAGTACCCCCACCAAACGAAGAGAGCTCAACATCACAAGGTAGAGCTTGCATGTACTATCGAAAAAGAGTACATATACCATTAGCTGATGTTGTTAGTGTGCGTTACGAAGTCTGAAGAAAATGTTGAACGATCTCGGCTGGGATGACGGCTACACCTTAGCTCAGTGATTAGAGCATCGCTGGCCTCAAGCGAAGGTCCCTGGTTCGAATCCTGGTGGTGACAGTCAATTCTTTCTTCAGACCTTTCCCGTTTGTGCCTTTCCCTCTAACCAGTGAATATTACTGTTAGCTTCGTACTTTGAGTGATTATCACTTACAGTTACATATACAATGTACTTGATAATTTCTTAGCGCATGAAAATCGGAGTCAGTACCACAATATTCCTCCCTCACTATATGAGTCTAGATACTTTGAATGTGGAACAGAGTCCAGGACAGGATCGTCTGCTCTATCCGAATTATGGCCTGGTTGCAATTTGTCTATTTACCAGCAGGTACATCGCACCAGGGAGTCATAGCACCTACACTGTAGGGAGACTACACAATACTTTATAGAACTTTGGGTCAGGATTTGGAGGTTCTCCGTGATCTGTGCAACCCGCGATCACGGCCTTGACCTACTGACCCTGAGAACGGCCCAGGTTAGCAATACCATGTACGAGCGTGTATAGATCTGCCCAATGGTGCCCCAAGGGTGGCTGAAACAGGAACCCCTGGGTCGAACTCCATGTCATTTAGCTTTACAGTCGCCTGTGCCGTCTACCTAGATGCTACAACTCCCTGCGTTGCACCCAGTAAATGCAGCACATCAAGTATACAGCCATGTATAGTGTTGGTTGTCACCTGTTCTGATCGTGTGATATCACAAACAATCTTCTACGGTCCATTCATTTTTAATCTGGTACGTTAGGGGCCGTCCATAATTATCTTTAACAGATTGAGTATCTTTGAAACGAGAAAAAAAATCGTTCATGGGCGGGTGGGTCAAGAAGGCTTTCGTAATGAAAAATATTGATAGCTGAAACATTAGTCCATTCCAGCTATTTTTTGTTGAGGGGTGAGTAGGTGGGGGTGGGGGACGGTCACAAGTTAGTCATAACTAAACTTTTCATTTCGTGAAAATTATCGATAATGCCGGGTCCATAATTGTCGATCTTTTACACGAAGAGAAAAAGTTTCGTTTGTGGGTGGGTCAAGGGGAGTTTCGTTTCGAAAAAATATTGATATTACAGACATCAATCGGGGGGGGGGGGGGGGTGGAGGAGGGTCCTTCTTTCATTTCGTGAAAATTATGGATAATGCTGGATAGCTCCTTTTAATAGTCTATGCAATAAAATAGTTGTTTTCTTCACACAGTACCGTAAAGTTTAAACAATATCCGGCCATGTTTGTACCGAACATTTTTTCGAAAGGTAATTTCTCAAATGTTGCCTTGAGTACATTCTCAGCAACATAGCGGGCCAGTTTCAAATAATTGGACTGCAAACTTGCATCGCTGGTTGTTGCAGCTCCATCACAGGTCGTATCACGGGAAATTGAGTCCAGCTTCACTTCTAGGTTGGGTGACACGTGATGGGCATCACTTCCTGCATGCTGGTGCATGTGACTCAAGAGCTCTGGCTGGCAAGCAGTTTTAGACTACAGGTGCAATACAAGATTTTTCTGCGATGTGCTATGCATTGTGCATTGCATTTCTCGAGAGACACTTCATGCTATGTGAAAAAAAGAATTTCGCTCAATGTGGTATTGTGCATCATGCAGTGCAACTTTCCCGCAAAAATGGACTCAAAGCACCTTATAGCTAGCTGTGGTTCACAGCAAAGATTTTCCTATTTGCGACTCTTGGTTTAATGGGTGCAGTAGCATGCATGTGCCTGGTGATATTGTTGCAATGGATCATAGCAAGAGTACATAACCCAAGAGTGTGCAACTCCAGCTATGGGGTCTGCGACGGCAGAACTTCACATCACGTGATGAACCCGTGCACTCTAGTGCATGATAGATACTGGGTTGTACGCAGCCCAGCTTTGGGTACAACTCTCTTGTGGTCACTTTGCACTGTTTGCCAGCATAACCTTTTGAACCATGTCACGTGATGTGAAGTTCTGCCGTCGCAGCACAGCATAGAGGTTGTGCAGGCAGTTGCACACTCTTGGTTATGTACTCTTGATCATAGTGAGGGCGTAGCAGTACTTGTGCACTGATAGTTGGTAATGGCATGAGTACATAACCAAGAGTGGGCAACTCGATGATCCCTCTGCCCATGGCAGAAAGTTTCATCACTTCGGTTTTTGTGGGCCATTGGGCTTATTAATACCATCATGCGTAGCCAGAGATCAAAACTTGTACATCACAGCTACGGTAGTTGAAGCAGAACAATGAACTGTGGATCCATGCCTACTGAACCTGATGAAACACTCTATCTACATGGCACATGTAGAAATATATGCGCGCTTGCTCATAATCATTGGATTTCGAAGCCGATCGCACCTTATGTTAGTAGTTGCACATTCTTAGCAGTTATGTAGTTTGATAATAACGTTACGATAGATTATCAATACTGGTGGAAACGTTATGCTGGTTGCCTATTTTGTACCCGGTGTGCCATGACTAGGCATGCTAATTCATCGGATATTAGCAAGTTTGCCTGCCTGCTGGGTGTTGTATCTTAGCTTCACTGTACTACAAATACGATAGGCTCAGTTTTCCTAAATTGCTTCTTTATAACATCCAGTTTGTTTTGCTGCAATCTTTTCACGTGTTTTGCAGGATTGTAGCCAAGGGTGAATACCATTATCATGAGCGAAGGTCTCTGAGAACTCATGTCTGAAGGCTGGTCATGTTGGCCCAACGATGACTTTCATTGCCTGTATCCGCCACCTTCATACTGGAATGAACTGGAACATGTTCACTCTCTGTTTCTCATGTGGAAGGACAGAACAGATTGTTTGTCT